CCATTCTCTTCTCTTGTCGTTGACTCGGCCTATTCTGTTCGTTGGCTAACTGGAAATCGGTGTGTATCGTTGTTGGCTCGCGTTCTGATTCTACCTCTGTCTTTTATTAATGACGAAACAGAGAACTCAATTTGAAAGGTTGAAATTTTTTTTTTACGTTTCTTTTCTTTACACCTAAACCGACTCGAAGATATCTTTCGTACACGATTGATGTATTCTCTGCAAACGAAGATTACGTGACCATGAGACACATATCATTATACTTTTTCTTTTTTACGGGAAAACGATTTTAAAATTCGTGGCTTGTCTTTTTATTCGGTTCATACCAGTTCTCGGTACACCAATGTTACAACAGTGCTCGTTCTAGTATTAAAATATTAAAAATGTTAAACTTTAATTATACCATTGGCTTTTACGAAACTTCGTGAACTTTGTGAGCTCGGAGCTTTTTTTCAAAAAAAGTTCCTTTCATCGTCAAATAGATCCACAACGTCGAGTAAATTTAGTTGAGACAATTCGTATTTAATCGAAAGAAAGTCAAACGAATTATCAATTTTATCAAAAAAAAAGAAAATCTTCTATTCTCATTGTGCCTAATTGCTAAAATCGAGCTGATAGAACAAGGAATCTCTGACGTTCCGCCTACTTTTGATCAATGATTACGTTTTTCATAAATGATGCTTGCGCTTGATTGTGGAGTTAGTGTTGATTTAGGCTCGTAATTGATCAAAAGAAACTTTCGACATTTGATTTTAGCTTAATTCCACTTTATTTGACTTCAGAGTTCTGCTGGATTAAATTTGATTTAGATTCTTCGTAATTGGCGAGGTGAAAGTCTTGATGTTTAATTCAATCGAGTTTCCTTGGCTCGGTAGTGACGGCTGAATCAATTAAGCTCAACACGAAATTTTCGTAATCGTACGAGACCTTTTAATCTTCAATTTAATTTAATTTCTAATATGTTATTTGAGCTTCGTTGAACTCGCGATATTTAATCCCGTTTTACTTTATTTTATTTTACCCTGCTTCTGATCCCAGATAAATTCAACACACAGAAATTAAATAAAACGATCGTCGATTGCCCGCCGAATGTTCTTCAATTTACATACAAATGTCGATAGAAATTAAACTTTTATTAACAATGACAAGCATGATTTACCGCAATTACGAAATATTATAGAAGACAGTCGTTCAGTTGCGTTCAACTGCGCGAGCTGATCGATATCTCGAAAAGCAAAACAGTATTTGTCCAACGGAGGAAAGCTACAATGGAATAAAAGTGGAAAGGTCTCGCGAATTTTTGTTTCGTTTCGAGGATGTTTCAGTTGTGCGGTGAAAAACAGGATTAAATGGCGTTTAAACGTTCCACGGCCGTCTGATAAAGGTAACGCGAGATTGTAAACCGGATAATTTTGTTTGTTCTCGAATGAGGCTGGATCTCCTGCGCGCAGTGGTATGTGTCGATAAATGAGCTGGCAAAGTGTCAAGTAGTACGAGTCAATGATATTCTCTCCGATTCTCTTTACAGTTCGATAAAACAGAAAAACGTAGTTCCCTCTTTTCCCTTTTCCGCTCCTTCCCCTCTCCTCCTGTATGGATAACATACTCTCGGCCTTCTCGAGTTTAAAATACAAATGTTTCTCAATCACATCGACGAGAAACGATTCGGCAAAAAAGAGAAAAAAAACTTCAATCGATCTTTCCAACGTTGAACATTTCAGAATTTTAAATTCAGATCGATTTCGTCGAAATCAGGGGACAAAGATTTTCAAAATCGCTGTCACTTCTCAATACGATAATAGTAATTAAAAAATGTACTTTTCCGAATGTACAAATTTAATTTAATCATCCTTCTTTCGCGTTTCCAAGAAATAGAAAGAAAATTGTAATTCTACTTTCTTTGAGTTATATCTATTACAAAAATTGAGAATGTCGAACTTCCATCTCAAACGCTGGGGCGCTAAATTTTTTCGGACCAACGAGGAAAGCCCCGAGGCAATATTTTCACGTATGTACGTTTACAATAGCGGACGAAAGAAAGTTTCGAAGATAAACGATGTGAAAAATACCATAACTAACATCCGAGAATAAATGACCCAATCGAAACTATATACAACAAAAGTTTCTATACCGCAAATACTAATTTTAAACTTTCTTTCGTCGGCCGGTCGTAAACAAAATTTCAAGCTCAACGACCTTTGGAAGTAATTTCAAATTAGTTTCGGCAAATCGCACCGCGTGTGTTTGTACATTTCTATTAAAAAAAAAAAAACAAGACATTCATGTATATTCAATTATTTACAAACATATCAAAAAAAAAAATCGAAATACTCGGCTCGACTTTGTGAATCTGTCTCTTCGATGCATTTCGCGAACACTTCGGTTCGTGTTAAACGGTCGTGGTCTGATCGTAAACGAGCAACGACTGTCGTATAGACAGGAGAACGCGGAATTAAAGGAATCTCTATTCATCGAGACAGTGGATACCTCGTTGGCCAGCGTCGCTCGATTCTCGTCGGTCGGTTTATTGGCTCGCGCCCCCTGTGTCGAGCTCGTAGCTTCACGCCCTCGTAGCGAGAGGAGAACAGGACGAAAAGAGGACGGAGGAAGGGAAAAAGGATCCTGTCTGGCAGTTCCTGGCTCGTTCACGCGTGTAAATGCTTCTCCCATCGAGCGATCAGACTCGAATATTTCGTTCGATAAAACCGGCCAGGACTTCCCGACACACGGGACTTGGCCTTCCCCGAAACGAAAAGTGAGACGCTTGTTACGGGACGTGCAAACGACCGGATCGTACGCGGCTCGATATCGATGGAGCGACCTGTCCGACCTTATCGCGGCGGATATCGATTACGCTTTGACGTTTATATTAAAACACGTTCGCGCGTCGAATGAGAAACGTAAGCTCTCGGATAGGTTGCCGGGGTTCTCCGCTTGCTGAAAATTCATCGCCGATCTGTGCTCTGGTTGTTGCTTAAGGGGGCAGGACAGTTTGACAGGCCTAAAAGTTACGAATACTTTGGAGGGCTAAAAAAAAATTACATATTTGATTGACATGAGCTTTTGTGGTTTATTTTAACACATTGCGAATACTATAAAAAGCAATTAAAAGAGAAAAAAAAGAGGGCTCTTATTTAACTTTTTCACGACATCCTTTTACATAACTTTGTTTTACATTGCCTATCGGTGTGCATGATTCCAGCCAAATAGGATTAATTGCAAAAAAAGTTCAAAAGTAAACAGTATTCTCTAGGGATTGACGATCCAACATTTTCATTTTCGTGAAAATTACGAGAATAGCAGCTATTTGTTTTTGATGTATCGATATATTTATGCCAAAAATTTCTACGTTTTTTGTTTATGTTTTTCGAAATTGTTAAAAATTAAATAATGTTCGATCGTCAATCCTTAGTAAATGTTACACTAAAGATACACATCAAGTTTCACGGTAATCGGTTGGTTAGATTCCGAGATATCTTGCACACCGTTTCTAAAAACCTAGTTTCGAGAGAAACGCGTTTAAAGTTTCAGAACGTCATTTTTCACATGTATCCTTTACTTACTTTTTCTACTTATATATATCGCGGCTTACACTTCTTACAATTCACAACTAAATTGAATCCAAGTCCTCTAATATTCGATTCACCAAAAGTAACATTTGAATCACACGATTTATACTTTATAATGCTGCTTAAAGCTGTAAAGCAGTGATACAAATTCAATTATTCTGTATCATTATACCCCAAAATAAGTCGTTTTAAAGGATCTTTTGTATCTTATTTCTAAGACTTCTACTATTTAAAACAAAACAAAAAAAAATCGATTTTTTGAAAATTTCACACTGTCCTGACCCCTTAAACGTCACGATCTATCTGGAATCTCTGCCTTTCCTTTTCTCTTTTGGATTGTAACAACGACGCGAAAGTATTTGATCGTTAAATCGAAAGTAGAGACTAATTAAATTTAAACGAACATTGTTGAAACAATATTTAAATGTTAGATCTCATTCGGTAAAGAATCCAACATTCACGCTCACGAGAAGACCAGGTTCACTGTCGTAAAATCGTGAATAATAACGAGGAAGTCCTTTCGAGAAATCCTCCGTCACCTTTTCTCCCGAGACAAAACCAAAAAAAAAAAAAAACGAAAAGACGCGAACGTTTCGCCAGCGTTGAGTACATCATCAACGCCGGACAAACGGAATACGGAAATGCGTTGACCAGGGACGCAGGATTGAAGCCGTCCCTTCGACCAAACGAAAAAAAAAGCAGCGCCTCTTTGAAAAACTTGTCCCAATCTTGCTTTAAACTTCCACTGCCTCAAGAGGTAGTCAAAGAAAGACCAACGAAAATTCTACGACCAAACCAGTACCAAACTCTCCAATCTCTCTACAAAGTTTCGCAAAATATGCGCAAAATATTTCTAGAGTCGATAGATTCTGGACGTCAGAGGACGAAGAAAAAGAATTCACACGCAAGAGTATAATTCGAAGTTACCAAACAGTTTCATTTCACAACGAAGCTACAAAATCGTCCTCTCTAATTTATTTACACTTCGCGGTTCTTTACTTGACGACAGCATCTAGCTGTGAATTTTTCAATCTCGTTACACAAATATTTCTACGTTCGGCGTAGAAAATTATGTAAAAACTCGAAAACGAACATTTTCATTTCATTTCAACGTGGATCTGGGATTAACCCGAGGCAGTAACTCGGAAGTACAAGTCACGCTTTGTAAATACTCGTTCGTCGTCGAAACTTCTTCAGTCTCTGTCAAACGAACGTGAAGATCTTTTGACGACGAAAAGGCTGACTACGAAACGACTTCCAATTAGCTACCGGATCCTTCAAATATTTCGCATATTTCGCGACAATCTTCCGCACATAAGAAGCAGCAAAGACCTTTCGTCCCTTCTCACCTCCCCCCCCTCCCCCGTAAGACCCCATAGAAAAAAAAAACCCCTCGTCGAAGTAGCTGAAGTAGAAGAAGGCTGAGGCTGGTGTGTTGTGCCAGGTATGATAGAAGGTGAGAGGCAACCTCCGCCCCCGGAAAATTGTACGATCAGGGAAGAGAGTCGGACAACGGTCAGGGTGAGCTGCGCCGAGAGCGAGTACATCGACCCGCGCACTGCCACCTATGTGCTGCAGGTCTATGACGCGGACAACAGGCGTCTACTGGCGTCCGCGACTAGCATAACGCCTAGCATGCTCGAGATCACCAATCTACCAGCTGAGAGGAGTTACTCAGGGCTGGTTCTCTCGCTGAGGATCATGACGGAGCACGCGATGAGCGAGGCCACGGTTCTTTACAGCCCGCACTTTGTTCAGGAGGGTAAGATACAGGAGCATCAACGATACCCAGGTAGGGGCCAGCTAGTGTTCGATTTCGAGTCAGCGTGCGCCATCCGCGGACCACGATAAAAACAATTCTGTCCACTGTGTCGCCGGAACGCGATCGTGGTCCCGATCGTCCCCAGAGATTCGTTCATTTGTCGACCTCTGTCTCCTTTCTCTGTCGGGCGACTTTTTCCCTTCGTTTCGTTCGTTTCCTCATGCCTTTTAGTTTCTCTCGTTATCGCGAATTTGACGAGATATCCTCGAGCGCCTTTTGTTTTCACTCCTTACGCTGGCAACTGGTTCGCGGACCATAACGAGCGACCGAACCGTATATCAATCATTCGTCGCTTTCTTTCTCTTTCGAACTCATCGTCGGTACGATGTTCACTGGATAGAAATTATTCAGAAGTAATACACTTATCATTTGTTTCGCCTGAGTTACTGTTTTAAATGTACTTAAAGCTGAGAAAATGTTGCAATTTGGGACAAAACGTTCTTTACTTCCGGCGCAAGAGGTTAACAGACCGGTTATTGATATTTCAATTTTTCAATATCGATTCTATTTGTCTATTTGTTGTCGGATTATTTTATTTGTCGATTCTTTGGACATCGAGTCTGAATTAGTCAGAAACGTTTGGAAATGTTCAAGTAGCTTTGTCGTGGATCGTTCCTCTCCTTGTCCAACCATCTGTCTCTCCATCCATTTGTTCGTTACCATTATCATTGGAACGTAGTTTGTTCTCTCGATCACCATTTTTCACGTTTGCCTTAGAATTAACAAGGATACTATTTCTTTTTTCTTTCTTCTTTTTTTTTTTTTTTTTTTTTTTGACGTCGTGGACCAGTTGACTCTCGTCGGAATAGACTTTGTTAGAAACGTGGAGAACCCGTAGTTCCGGTGGTAGCCAACTGCCGTACTAAATGTTGAAGTTCGAGTTCTCTCCTCTCTAAACTGTTCGTAAATTGAAATCCAATGAGAATTGCGTTCGAGCTAGTTAGTCTTCTGGTTTGAGTGTTGCGCGTCATCGATATCGCAGCTCATCCTATCGATCGTCTGATCGACGACGGAACGACTCTCGCGTCTGACAACGGCCCCACACAACTTTTCTTCCAAACGTTTTTCTCACGAATCACCCCGCTTTTTAACGAAATTTTTATATTTTTGATGTAAAATACATATTGGTCACACGAATGTCCTTTTATTTGAATATTTCCAGCATGACCGTGATCTCTGAATGGCATCCAGATTCTTTCTCTTTTTTTTTTTAATTTTAATTAACGCACTCGCTGCTTATTATTGTAAAATATATGGCTGTTACTCGACCTCTCTGTTCGAGTCGCTGTGTCTCTCAGCTCAGACAACTTCAAATTGGGCGTGAAAAGTGAAATAAGGGAGAAACGGTCTCGTGTTTGTAGAAATCTGTAATTGCTGGTGAGACAAAGTGGAAATTCACATTAACGTGCGATCCTGTCAGTGAAATTAACATTCGACCGTTGGATCGGTCAGAAGAGAGAGAGGAGCGTCAACGGAGTATCAAATTATGCTGTCAAACGTGTCCCCGATAGCTAATCCGGAATTCACGATTACCCAACATAATCCAGACTTAATCCGGGATTAAGCAGAGGATCGGCCGCCCCTGCCGTTTTAATCATTAAATCATTGGATCATCCTAGTAAATCCGACTGAAAATCTGATCCAAAATTAACGTTCACCTATGCCGGTGAATTAACTAGGAACCGGTGCTCCCGCGCAGCGTAAACACGGAATCAACGTCGTGTACAAATGTGTCGAAATGATCAGAAACTTCGCCTGCAGTCAATGCAGCGAGAAATCGATGATGCACCATCGATTTAAAACTAATTTCGACCGATCGGGCCGTACACAACCCGCTCAAGGGTAGAATTCAATTCTACTGCTAAACCGTCTGATCACCTTATCGTATCCGATTCGATCGATTGGAAACGCCGATTCGAAATTGATCTACCAGTCGATCGCCGATTTAGATTCGGTACCGAATTATTCTGAGTCGAGGCGGGTGTATCGTGGAATGGATTTGAGCATCGGGATGTACAAATGAAATATGAAAGTCGTGAGTAAGTCGGTGGTTCTTTTCGTAGATCCAGATCCTTCCGAATTCAATTTTCGTCGTTTGATATCTGAAAGGGAACGATTGAATCAACGAGCGACGTATCGATGAGTGAGAATCAAAGACAGTTGTTGCGATCGATATTTTTAGAATATTCGGGAGAAAATATTTCACTGTGATTAATGTATTGAAAATTAATTCAACTCGCAATCAGAGTGGAGAAATCGACAGATGTTACAAACACCTTAAGCAGAAAAGACTCGAACGAATTTTCAAATTTTCTGAAAAATTAATATAAATTCTAACAACCGTCCCAAGAAAAATCGACTAATCAAAGATAGTTCTTACGATCGATGTTTTTAGAATATTCGGGAGAAAATATTTCACTGTAGTTAGTGTATTGAAATTTAACTCAACTCGCAATCAGAGTGGAGAAATCGACAGAAGTTACAAACACCTTAAGCAGAAAAGACGAACGAATTTTCAAATTTTCTGAAAAATTAATATAAATTCTAACAATCGTCTCAAGAAAAATCGACTAATCAAAGATAGTTCTTACATTACGATCGATATTTTTAGAATATTCCGGAGGAAATATTTTACTAATCAAAGATAGTTCTTACATTACGATCGATATTTTTAGAATATTCGGGAGGAAATATTTTACTAATCAAAGATAGTTCTTACATTACGATCGATATTTTTAGAATATTCGGGAGGAAATATTTCAGTGTAATTGATATATTGAAATTTAATTCAACTCGCAATCAGAGTAGAGAAATCGACAGAAGTTACAAACACCTTAAGCAGAAAAGACTCGAACGTTCAAATTTTCTGAAAGATTACTATAAATTTTAACAATCGTCCACCAGAAAAAATCGACAAAAAATCAACGAATATCAATCTTTAATCTCGGTCTTCACTTTTCGTTTCATCGTAACAATTAAACAATTAAACGATCGGTCGGTGGTCGGACACGGTGGACGTTGATCAAATTTATAGATGGAGCGTTAGCCGACGTCGTGTGTCGACGTGTCACCGGCTATTAAACGGCCCGTAGCCACGTTAACCGTTAAAGTGAACCATAAACGGCCCGCGGAACCTGATTACAAAACGTCTTTCAGCTAACCGCGATCTGCGCGCGGCCACGAATATGCAAATGGACGGTCTCTCCGCGAGAACTCGTGGCGAAAGATCTCCGCGTATACATCCCGTAAATGGTTAGTACGTACTTATGTACGTGCACACAGGTAGTGTACGAGAGAGAGAGAGAGAGAGAGAGAGAGAGAGGGAGAGAAGTCGGTTAACTGTTGGTACCAAGGGACACTACCAAGACACACACGCGTACGTGTGAACCAGCCGTAAGGCGTTCAACCGAAATTGGTCTGCGGCTGAACACAATCCTCCGCATCGTCACAGCCGGCCTCACGAATGGGACGCAGACACGTTTAGGCCAACTTCAGCTAGGCTGGTGTGAGACAGAGGACGGAAACACGGGAGAGAAATTCAATTCTGGAGAGAATCGTGTTCACGCATTGAAAATATCTCAACAACTGAAAAAGCCAAATTAATCGATATTCCACTTTTTGTAAATTTTAAACACGATCGGTACGTACAATATCGGAAAGGGATCTGGGAATAATTTAGAAAGCCTTGTACTACTTTCGTGAGAGTGAATGCAACGCGTGCGAGATAGCGGTATTTAAATAACAGCAGTATTAATGAACATTTCTTTACGCGCTTATCCCTCTGATGGAAATGTCGGGGGCGAGGAACTTTTTCACATTACTCGGATTGTTTAATAAAAGAAACAAAGACGCGATCGTGTTTTTTGCGCAAAGAAGGAATATTGTTTCGGTAGTGAAGGGCAAATACGATGGGAAAGAAAGGAGAAAAAAAATTGATTCTTCCATCGCTCGAGCTTATAACGATAAAAATCGTTACAACCTCTCCTGAACAAAACGAAACGAAAAACCATTCCAATTTGCATCGTCAAATAGAATATCGCATTTCCACAGAGGGAAGAATAAAAGAAAAAAAAAAAAAAGAAAAAAGAAAAAAAAACGAGAATTTAGTCGTTTGAAAAATTTCTCCCGATTTTAATTTAAAAAGTTTACGAGAAGATTTCGTTTGCTAATTTTAAGCGTAGGCAACGTTTCTCGTTAGAGGAACACCTGTCACCGCGTGCCAGAAAAAAAATTGAAAGTTATTCGCCGAAACGTGGCGCAGACTCGAAACCGGGAGGGATAATAAAATTGATTTTGAATTAACTGCTTTCCATCTTGGGAATAGCAGTTGAATCCTGCGGCCTCCTACGTTTAATATCAACTTAGAATCACGGGAGCAGAACAAGAGGGGCTACACCTCTCGTTTAGAGGAGTTCGTAAATTTAAGTGGATTTTGATTAATCTCGAACTTGAGTGCCAACCGTAGTTTCTAGACAATGCATCTGAATCCCAGAATTCATTGCCGGCGCAACGATAATTCACGATCTCTGCAAACACCGGGCGTCCGCCTCCGAGATAATCGCGTTTTAACCGTGAAAAACCGTGGCGAATCTCGTCACCGAGGTACCGATCGTAAATTGGAACGATAGTCCCCTAGCCCGAATTACGAGCACTGTAAAAATAACAAGATGAAATAAGCGATACGGTTCCTGCCGGGATTAAATTGGAAACGTGGGATTCAATTTTATGAGGACAACGAAAGACATTTATTCAGATTCGCGCGAGCGCGGCAACGTCTGGAATAAAATATCGATGTTGAGAAGTTGCCTTGAAAAAATATTGCTCGACCCAGAATTATAGGAATCTATATATTTATGTATACATAATTTAAGGTTTAATTTAACATGTAAATTTCGTTTAACTCGCGTGTCACAACGATATATTTTATTTAGACAGCGTTACGTTCCGTCTCAATTATCTCCCATTTATCTCGCGTGATATTCACATTCGCGTCTCTCTTAATTAGAAATTCCTACAATCCGAGAATCAAAAGTTAACGAAGACAGATATCAGCGTCGATCGGGTCGATTTTTAATCCTCGAGAATAAAAAAATGAAACGACTGGGAAACAAATGAGAAGTAAACAAACGGGTTTCGAAAAGGAATTTAAGATTATCAGAAATAAATTGCACGACTCGTCTCTCCTCCTGGTTGATAAATAAAATCGTTCGTTGAAAATCGTCACGATCTTCTCTCCATCCCTTCGAAATTTCCGTCTCGATTCGTCGAACAGAAGCGAAAGAAATGAAACGAAATAGAATCCCATTTTGTCTGCCGTTCGATTCACTCTCGAACGTTAACGCACGGTGATCGGCTCGGAATAAACCGAATCGGCTAATTGGCGGTCGGACGTCCACTTACATGGATCAACTCGATCAACTGAGAGAGGATCGCGTGGCATAGACACGAACACGAGCGGCCATGGCAGTGTTACCTCGGCGCAGAGATATTATCGATTAATCCGAAATTAGCCGGTTCGATTAATCCGCGCTAGACAGTTGGCGTCGAAACGAAATCGACGTTTCCAATCGGCCACGATTAACGTCAGTCTCTCTAGCGATGTAAAACTAAAATTAAAGTAATAGTTGGGAGGGGGGGAGGGGGGGAGAGGATCGATGGAAAAATATTTTGAAAGATTGACTGATACCTTGTCTTGCCGTTTTGTTGAAAAGTTCCAAATTGTTTCAAAATTCTTTCGTATTTTTAAAATAAAGGATTTTTTGTATCTAAATTTTAATAATAAAGGATTTTTGTATCTAAATATATAACTTTTATAATTTTACATCTATATATATATTTTAATGTTTCATAATTTTACATATATATATATATATATATATATCAAAAATTTCTAAACAGTGTCCAAACTTTTTATTTTCGTTGTGTAGAATATTAACCTCTTTATATTCGCCGCTGTTCCACAATTTCCGGTCCGTAAAAGAACAAACTATCTCTCAAAGAAACAACAATAAAAAAAAAACAAACGAAAATGGGAGAAATCGAAAGAAAGGTAGAAAATTTTGGCCGAAATTTCGGTCGTGATTCGCACGACGATGCTCGACTTATCGTTCGAAGAGTCCCAAAAGTGGCAACGCGCGGGAATGATTGAAGCGGAAGTGCCTTTACGATCACGTCGCCGGAAGCGTACATTTTTACGAGCTACCTTTTACGAACATGTCACGATCTCTCTCTCTCTCTCTCTCTCTCTCTCTCTCTGTATGTGTTCTGTTTTGTCTGTGCTTCAACGGAAATCTGTCCACGCTTTTAGAACGTCATCATTTATTTGACGCGTTTCGTTCATTCATTTGCCAAGGCAGCACTGAATGGTCCATTTTGGCCTTTCCATCCTATTGTCTCGAAAATTGTTGTTGTTGTTGTTCGAGAGATTTCCACCGCGAGAACAGAGTTTTTTCTGTGAGGACACTTTCTGCATCCGGGAAACGTTTCAGAGAAAGATTTCAGGATTAAACCTCCCTTTGGTTCTTGTTCGAATTGTCGCACAATTTCTCTTGTACATCGTTTTACGTGACGGTATTCGAAAGAAATCTTTGTGTATTAAATACACGTTTGATTGATCAAAATTACTGATATTTCTATTTTTCTACGAAAATCAAAAGATACTAATTCCCGAAAGGGGGTGAATCTACAGATGAAACAAACTGGTTTCTCTCGCGAACAGAGTGAAAAGGTTAATTCAAAGTTAATTCAATGATAGAGCGAGACAAATTAGAGCACACGGTGAATCGTGGAGAGAACAGTAGAGAAACACGTGACCTCAAGGAATACACCACTATCACGAAATACTTTCTGCTTGCAAAAAGTGGCGCGCTTTCGCTTCTGATCGTAGATCTATGTTTCACCTGCCCCTCTGTACACACGTTGGCTCTCTTGCACAGTTATTAATATCAATTAATATTATCGAAATTTTCATTTAAATTAAAATTTAGTATTTACGAAATTTTGCAAGCTGCAAATTATGAGTTATACTGCATAATATAAGTAATGAACTGTTAAAGAGTATTTGAAAGGAACTGCGACAAAAATCTATAATCTGCAGTAAAATTATCAGTTTGTAAATGATCTCGTACAAGAGGGCCTCTGTCAACTGCATGCAAATCGTGGAGTCTTGCTAAGGCAACTCGAACGTAGTGTGGAACAATGCCTAGATGACGCACAGCTTTTTTCATTATAACAACAAAGGTACTAAATTAATTTTTCGAATACGTATTATTGGCACTGACTGAGATTAAAAAGATGTCAAAGTGTTATTTTTTATCTGAGACCTTTTGCAAAAATTGAAACAAAGACCAACATGCTTTCTGCACGTATGGCTACGAAGTCTGTCAATCATTTTGTATATTGAACTTTTAATTAAATTTTTGCTTCGTTAGAAAATTTCTGTCTTCTAACGGACGAATCTGTATAAAAATTCCGACGAGTTTGATCTATTCACGAATCTTTGTGACGTCATCGTTAGATTATTTATTTCAAATATTTTATATCCGAAACGTATGATTGTTTAATTCATAATAAAATTGAAATTAAATTAAAAATAAATTGAAATTGATAAATTAATAAATAAATTGAAATTAAATTGAAATAAATTGAAAATGAATAAAATTTATGATAATGAAACATAACATTAAAATATTGCTATATTTTGGATCGAAAAGTATATATGTTCCCCCATTGTGAAATATTGATATGTACGACAACGTTGGACGATATATAATAATAACGTTTCGAAAAGTTTTGCCGATAATGGTCCTTACTTTTAGCTAGAAGCACAGGAGTTCGCGTTCATTATCGTTGTCACGGTCAGAAACGTCGATCAAGCGATGATATTTCATTTACATAATTGTCGATGGCTAAATACGAAACGCATTGGACCATGGTTAATCAACCCACCGCTCGTTCGTTATCGAGATATTAATCCATTATTAACTGGAATGCGAAAGGAGAAACGTAAATCAATCCCCGCCCAGGGCTTGAAATTACGGCAGCAAATGAAACACGATCGCGCTTGAATGATCTTGTTCCCTTACCTCAACAAACTGTCTTTGATTTCACGATGTGATAATTCGAAAAAAAGATCGACCAACGTGTTTCGTGTTTTGGAAAAAATTCAGGTTAAAAAAAAAAATACTAGAATGTTTAATTATTGAAAAAAAAAGAAAGAGAAATTAGAGGATTAACCGAGAAAATTAAGCAGCAGAAAAAAACTGATCGTTCACTTTTACGGGATGTTCGAATTTTAGTATGTCCAAATTGAAAAGAAAGAATGACTTTAAAGAAAAGGAGATGCCTCAAAAATTCTGAGAATTGCAACATTTATTCTTTATTCTGAATCGTTAGATGGGTAGACAATTTCGTGATCCATCTGACTATAATGTGTGCGTGCTACTTGTTTCGTCAGTTCTGGTTGCAAGTAGATCGACCCACTTGTTCAGCCAGTGGCGAATGCTACCAACTAGAATTAATCTTTCGTCATCGTTTCATCTGTCTCTTTCTACTCGTTCAATCTGTTCCTTGTTATCCAGATAATCAGTCTTTCGATCAGACGAGACACTAACGAAACACGCATCGTTCGATGCACGCGAGTCTTTTTCCAATTCATTGAACCCTTTTGATTCGACTGCGTTCGAAAGCAGTTTCCCCTGTATATTTAAATTAAAAAAAAATCAATTCCCTTCAAAAAAATTTCTGAGATAATTCTGAAATTTGGGAAACTCGAAGATTCTAAATCTTCTAACGATAATATAACTGTATAATTCATCCGCTGTCGAGTCAAGATTTTCCATCTATTTAAACGCAAACGATCCTGGAAGTCCATCGAATCGTATCCACGACGACGTACGAAAAAGAAACTGAAAACAAAAATTTCGTTTTTCTTACGGTTGTGATCGCGAGAGAAGTCGTTCCCGAGTATCCCGAGAAATAATCCCTTTGGTCCCTCGAACAAACGAGATCATCCCACGAACGAATGGAAGGGAGAGGGAAGACTCACGATACTTATCGCGATTTCCAGCTCTAACGCCGGTGATGCTGTCGCTGTCAGGGCCATTGCTCGGCGCGGTGGTAGGAGCAACGGCCGGCCTTCTACTAGTGATCTTCGTGATAGTTCTGGCGGTGAGATTACGGTATCGACCAAGGTCTCAGGAGGACAAGGACTCTCACGACGACGGCGGCATGGCGAACCTGGCTGCGTCCGGAACCGGCAGCTCTTCTCCACGTGATAAATCGTCGACCTTGCCTCTCAACTCCGACAGCATCGAGAGCTTCGAGAAGGATCCAGATATAATTCCTCACGCTAATGGTGGGTAATTTAACGAGCACTCGAGCTGAGACTGATAGCGCGCGATTGTGTGGTATTCTTCGATTTTAATATTTGTACAAGTTCATAAAATGATTCGACGGATGATGATCTTCCAGATCATGAAAAGAGAGATTTATTTATTTTGTTCGAAGATATATATTTAAGAACGAAATAAGAGAAATACAAGATTTAAATCTGGCTGGTTGAAGAAAGATTTATTTTTGAATGTGTTCGAAGATGTATTTAAAAACGAAATAAGAGAAGATTTGGCTCGTAGTCCTGTTTCACAAATTTTTCGACTCACCAACGTAAGTTGAACAACATCCGCGCAAAAAGTTCCAGTCAAGTTTCGTTAAGAACTCGATTGAATTAAGCGAATTAAAAACCAATTACTTTGACGATACGGTAAAGTGTTCCACTAAGTCTCGGTAATTAACATTTAACAGTCATCTTGAACTCTGTGTTCCCGCAGAAAATTCTTACGCCGAACTGTGCAAGGGCACTTCACCGCGGTACGTGTTACACCAGCAACGAACGGACGCGAATACTTTCACCAACACAAGCAATGTAAGTATGACTTTCGCTAAATGAGGTAACAACCAACCAGGCATTTGTCAACGTATAATACGTATCAAACAAAAAGAAAGAAGCATCTTAAGGTTTAAATGAAGAAACTTCGATAGTCTATCGATTTTCATGTCCTGCAACTGCGATTTTATTGCTATTGATAACTTGATTGAAGTTTCAAAATATTTGCTGTGAAAAAAATTGCGAAATGTATGAAGAATCGGATAATTAAAATTATCAAAACAAATTAGATCAAAAGGCTAAATCGAGCTATCAAAGCTGTCGAGTCGAGTTATGGGAAATGAATCGGGTTATCCAAAAGAATCAGGGAACATTCGTACACGTCGGATACCGATTCATGAACCATTGTACTAAATCACTGAATCGCTGATATCCATGATCAATAACGAGTTATCCCTCTGATTTTGCAGGGATCAGAATTAACGTACGCCGAGCTGTCGCTCCGTAACCGACGAATACCTCCTAATTGTTATCAGCCGGTACAGGTATCCAATATTCAACGGCCTCAACTGCTGGCCATGTCGACTCTGACGCGTAGGCAACCAATCCAGGAACCGACGATTTACGCGCAAGTCGCCAGTCATTCTAAGCCGATTTATGTACCACCCCCGCATCCGTACATGAGTCGCACCAACGACGAGACCACGGTAGAAACTCCATTAATCGGACACGACAATAAGGTGACCATTGGAAGACCTGTCCTATCATTCGTCTCTGACAATGAACTTTTTCATTTTTAGTAACTCGCCCGATACCTTCGAAGTTTAACCTCTTGCGCTGGAATGACGTGCCATGCACAATTTTTTGTCCCAAAATTGTAATATTCTCTCAGTTTTAAGTATATTTAAGTAAAACAAAATAGGCAAAGCAAATAATAAATTTACTACTTCTCAATAATACTTTCTATCCAGTGATATGCCGACGAGTTCAACAGAAAAAAAAAAAAAAAGCGACGATTTATTGTATACGATTCGGTCATTCGTTATGGTCCGCAATCAGTTGCCAGTGCAAGTGGTTAAATAATTGTAATATCGTGTTGTTAAAAAGTCGAACATTCATTCGAATAGATCTTGAAAAATGTCGCGCAAGAAATGACAAGAAATTTACGTAGAAACTACTATAAAAAAATATTTCGTGAAACTCAATCGAATCTAACTTTGTTCGCAGATCACCACGATTAGCCAATCGGGTAGCTCAATATGGCGAACTGACACGCCGCCAGCTTCAAACGCACCAACGACATGATTCTAAAATCCTCGATTCTGATCGAAGTCGACGTTTCTCGACACACCTGTTAATTATAAAATAAGAACAAAAGAAAAAAAAAAGCAAAAAAAGAAAACGAAAAGTTAAACTCTTCGGCAAGAGAAGCAAACAAAAAAAAAAAAAAAAAGAAAAATAAAGAAAGAAACGTAAAGTAGAAAACTCACGACGTTCCTCGTAACTCGTTTGCTTGGAACGACGTGTACGATATCGTGTTATCGTTAAACTTTCTCGTACATATGATATACAGAAGGTTCTCATGAAACGATGAACAATGAAAGTAATAAAAAAAAAATACACATACACACACACACATAAATACAAACACACAAATGTTTTGCGTGAAGTATAGTACGAATACCTATATTATATATTATGCTTTCCGGATAATTTGTGATAGAGTTATTATTGTAAAGCGAGATGAAACGATCGCGATATTTTCTCGACATATTCTCGTGTGATTCTCGATATTCTCGAATGATTTTCTGTCCCGCGGGTAAAACAACAGTTGACGCAGCGATCGGCAGTAATGGTCCTAATTATCGATGAGCGTGGAAATTAGCGGGCCCTTTTCAACCGTCCGTAAAAGAGAGAAGAGAAGAAGGCACAAACGCATCAAGGAAAACGAGGAAGATGTCGAATACTGCCACATTTCCTGCCGTGATTCAACGAGGAAGATGTCGAATACTGCCACATTTCCTGCCGTGATTCATCGATTCGATCGGTAATGATACGAATCTTTTCTTTCAGGGATGGGGCCCTCAAAACTCCAAAAATCTTGCGCTTTCGAAATCCGAAACTCTCGACTCTCATATCGAATGTTAACCTGTACAAATAACTAACGAAAATTGGCTTTCAACTTACGTTGCCCATTGAGAAAAAGACAAAGATATTAAAAATTTGTTTTCCAGAATAAGTATTCCGGGTGTCGAGTGTTTCTCGAGGATTTCGGGATCTCCGTAAAGTTCCGAATTCGAGTGTAAGAACCAGGTTTCGACCCATTTCTATTCTTTCATTGCACACTTCGACTTAGTTTCGTAAGTGTAACAACGTTTGTCGTTTACGATGCCACGAACGAAGTACAATCAAGGCGGCGAATCTTCGATTGTTTTCCCTTTTTTTTCTTTCTTTCGTTCGGTATTACACTTTCGCAGAGTAAAAATAATTCGTATATGATGACGACATATATAGAACAAAAAAAAATATATATATATATATACAAATATTAAGCGCGCGTCGAAAGTTAAAACGTATCGAGGTGTTTCTCCGCAGCTTAATTATTTATTGTTGGACATAAACGACGCGAAAATTTTCCGTGTACAGATTTAGATAAATGCGGTGTTATTATATAACGATGTTATGTAATCGTGGATAGAATTTAACGAGAAGAAAGAGAAGAGAAATTTGAGAATTTTCCGAGCAAATGTAATATACGCGTCTGTTGGTTATATTAGACTCATTCTGTATGTTCGATCGTTGCTCATTTTCGAAGCTTTAACTGTCCTTAATGGGAGGAAATAGTTTCTTTTTTTTTTTTCTTAAATGAAACAGTTACCCACTTACATATTACTCTTTATTTAACCTAAATCGTTTAACTTAAAGAATGTTACATGGTAAGGTGATCGTATCGTATTACATTAAATGATATGAATCGAGGGAGAAATGTAATGTAACTTATACAAACTCTATCACAACCAAAGCACCAGTTTTTAATAATGAAGTACGCGTTGAAAATAAATTAGGATACCGTTACTAACTATTAACCCAATTTCTGTTTCTATAAACATTAATATTCTACATATTAATTTTAAGCTTTTAATTTTATAACAATATACATTAGTGCTAATTTTATATTAATTTTATCTTAATTTCATGTGTATCGAGTCTCTATCAAATTTCTATTAAACTTCGTACCAATTACTTCTTAAACAAAATATTTACGTTTATTTCATATTTATTCTGTATCATAGTATAATACTATTTTTTATTAATCTTCTAAGGACACACATACTTGTTAAAAACAAGAGATATGATCACCCTACATTATAGACGAGTTATTGACGGATGGTACGCGCATTCGAAAAGGGAGATTGCGATAAAAGCGTAACGAGAATAAAATTCTCGGCCGTTTCGTTGAGTTTTATAGGGAATGGCGAAGAGAGGGGAAGAACGAAGTGTGCAAAGCTTATGTTACGTGCCATATAATTGCAACGCCAATCGAAAACGTTGCTCGTCAAGTTGCGTTGCACACCTGAATAATATATATGTACGCACTCGTCTGCAATAATTTTTATGCTTCGCGTTTTTCTCCTCTTCCTTTTGTAAATAATCGAATCGTTCGTACGTGCGATCAATCGTTTCTTTTTTCAATTATAACGTTTTAATAAACTTTATTATTACGCCGAGGAACTTTTACAAAGATCGTGAACGACACAGACAGAACATTCCATTATTTACGTCCGAATCATGCACGTTTCTTTGCAAGTTGACGATTCTCAAAGAGGGAATACAATTGTTGAATCTAGGAAGCGGAATTCCGATGTATCGTCGAAGCTCGCGTTTCTCGCGGACGATTTAGCACGAATTAACGTAGCGATCTTAATCGTTAGTGTGTGATTACCATTAACGTTACTTTTTAATCGACGACACTTTACACATCTACTTATGTCCTTGAACGTCTAATTAAACGAGTTTCTTCCATTCGATCGATTTTGAATTATCTCGTAAGCTCGATTCACAATACGAATTTTATACCATTTTTATATAAATCGGATGTAGTCTGGCCGAAGATGCGCCGGGGTCAGATATACCTTTGACGAATGTTACACACGCGGCTACAAACGCGTGTGTTTCATCTTCGTTTCTGCGTGAACTTCTTTCCGAGATAGTTGTGTGAATGACGATGTAAAATAAAGCTGCCATCGCGTGGGTTCAAACTACGATTAAGTCGTAAATCGTTCAATATAGAGAGGTATGTTCGCGTATGTTTGAAGATCGGACAGGTTTAAACTCCTCCCAATCGACGGCAAAACGAACGAAATATTTGCCAGCGAGATTTTCTTAATAATCACGAATTGATCAGGGTTCTTCGATAAGCGCACGTGGGAAAAAGAAATAACAAATTTACACTTTCGAATGTTCTTTAATGCTATCGAATTGTTCGCGCATGCGAGATATAGAGATATAGAATGAACGTGACGTGGTGTGATGATAAATGTAAGGAAGAGAAGCGAAGTAGAAGAAACGGCGGGAGAGCAGCAGCAAAGGGGGAAAAGAGAAGAGAGAGCGGAAGAGTGAAGGTGAAATATTCAGTATTTTGTCAAAAATTCATATTACCAGTGTAATAAAAGACTTTGATATATTGTTAGTATGCGTTGTAGGTATTACAGAATGAATTTAAATATAAATTATACACGATATATAAAGCATACGCATCTGTAAACGTGCGTACGCGTAAGAGATAATTAAGATCTTATAATTTTAAACGACTTTTAATATAGGTTTACTTGTGTAAAATAAGAAAAAAAAAAAAAAAATAATTGTGCTCAATAAATTTCAATAAATAACGATTTTGCCTATGCCAATAACGATTATTATTGTAATTATTTTTGTATAGAGAAGTAAGATATTATCTAATAAATATTATAAATACATTATAAATATAATAGTGATTACAGTATATATGTAATAAAGGTATTTAACATTGCATGTTATATGTCTGTAATATCCTATGCCAACTAATGAAGGAAACTTAAATCACCATGTGTATAACAGGTAATATTTTGCAAGATATGCCATATATAATCACGAAGTTTATAAACGCAACATTAATTTGAAAAACACGATCATTTATGAATTCTGACTGACAAAAAAATAATTGAAACAACCACGATATAAAATTCTATAAAATGGAACAAAGAGAAGAAATAAAAATATTATTTCGAACATGATGTAGAACGTAAACCTTTTCCATTGGCGCCACCAACATTCCTGAAACAAACTTAAATCACAAAAAGTTTATTAAAATTCTAATAAGAAAAAGAAGATAAATGAGCAGCTAGAAGAGAATGGGGTATCTTTTGTTTCTCGCAACACTAATTTACAGAAAGCAAATAGAAAATAGAAAATTCTTGAAATAAATCGCGAAGAGTGCTTTTTTCTATCTTTGCAACATCAATTGGCTTACTATTAAAAAGAAATAAAACAAGTAGAAAGTTCTCTCAAAATTATAGTCTTGGGCGTACACAACGTTAATAAATATTAAATTATGCACTCATATTTCAGTATTCGCAACACTAATCATGAAAATCAAGTACAGCTGACAATTGGAGACTTCTTTAGCTGCGTCAGGTGATTCAGGAACATACTTCCACGATCTCAGTGGAAGGAGTTTGAGCATTTTATTAACGCAACGCTATTTTAAAAAACGCGATCATTTGTCAACGCAACACTAATTTTTAAAATGAATTTAAACTGAAAAACTACCTCGTGTGATAAGAAAAAAAAATTATTCGAATTATTCGCAATGTCCATAAATAATAACACTTATAAAATTAATCTTTCTAATTAAATTTTAAGTAAAATTAAAGGAGACAAATTTTAATACTACTTTTTAAGAATTTACAACAATTCGTAATAAAAAAAATGCCAACCACGATATCTTATAATCCGCAACGCTAAAGCAAACTCGATTGTTATTATAGATACCGTAACTCTAATACAAACCGAAATAAACATCTCTTCGCGGCTCTAATTCACAACGCGAAATTATGACTATTTCGCGACTCTAATATGTTAACTTCTCAAAATACTACAAAACTAACAAAACCGCGATTTGCCCAAAATGATGATGAACGACGATGGAGAAGAAGAAGAAAAATACAACTACAAATACTAAAAGAGCATAGTGACAAAGTAGTAACGAGAATGACCTCCCATGCTCTGGAATCATTTAAATGATCCAGTGGATGAGAAGCCATTTGCTGTGACCCTCTTCGTGGCTGTTTGCCGGGCCTCTTCGGCTTTTAGCCTTTTCTTTCTTCGAGCGCAATGCCCGCTGAAACTTACGTCTAGCTCGAGTCTTTCTAATCGCAAACTAAAAAATAACTTACAAAGGTGAAATAAAAAGATAAATCAGCGAAAGCTGAACCCAGTACACACGGACGATCATCGATCATAGTGATCGTTGTTCGCTCGCATGTACGTGCTCGAGCAATACCTACATAAACGTTCGTTTCGGGACCTACTCGCGACCTATCCGCGACCACGACCGCGATACTAAATNCCTCCGACACCCGAGCTTAACACGCAACTTTCACACTCTAATTTACGTACCATTTTCCTGAAATCGACTGACAGTGGCTAGCGACCATTGCGTAAAACGTGATTAAAACACATTTACATTTACAACTATATGTGAAATATTAATAACTGAGAAAAAAATGCATATAATTTCTGTAGGAATTACACGTGCAAGTTGACTTGGAATCATTATTATAATTGATTGATATAATTAATGATATAATTATAGTGTATTTAAATATAGTGAGTATCATTATATAATAAATTCATACTTCAAATCAGTGCATAAATATTTTAAGTATTTCAAATTATAATGAATGGAACGATAAAAACGACGCAATTCCACATCCTAACCACACACACACATGCGGAAAATACGTCGTGCACGATACGCTAACACACCGTCAGTCGCTGAGAAATTTTTTATAAAATTACAAACTATGGTCATCGTACCCAATGTCTTTCACCAACTCAAGTAGCACCTGGGCACGTGAGTGAGATCCTGACAATGAACACGGAAGAGGTTAAACCTGAAAATCCTGAACTAAAATAATAATTAGTTTATTAGTTAATTTGTATCTAACGGACTATTGCATCATTTTATTTCAAGTTGTAATGACTCAGCTCTTTCAAAAATTATTGAAATTACAAGAGAATAAAGACAATGAACATAAATTGAATTTATTAAAAAAGATACTATAAAACGTAGTGATTGACTCAAAAAATCAAAATCTGACTATAAATTAAATATTAATAGAAATATTAATTAAATATTATAAATTAAATATTAAATATTATAAATTAAATATTAATTAACCTCAGGCGACTTTTTCATCAAAGCACATTTACGAAAATGAGAAAACAGTGTTCAAACTTGTTGCTTTGATTCGAAAATCTGCCTGTCACGAAGTAACTTCTTGCACATAAAATTTCATACATTTTTCTGCGAAAAAAATTCTAATCTATTATATTTCAAATTCTACTGAACTTCATACTTATAAAACTCAATAAATTAAATCATTTAATATTATTATAAAAGGGGAGATAAAATTGAAAATTATTAATTATTATTATAACAAAATCACCAGTATCAATAAATAATAAGTCTTTCATAGCAACGAAGTCGGAGGATATCCGTCTTCTCTACTATAAACTCGAAATCGTTGTAATAATAATCATTTATAAACATTTATAATTTATCTATTTTCATGGGAATATTCATATAGGTATTTTACTTTTGCAAACATTTATATTGAAGATATTTTAATTTTATAAGTAATTGCTATAAATTTATTCTAATTGTTAAAATCGCGATGTGCAAGAAGCCCTATCCTGATCTAATAGATAAAAAATCTGAAAAAAATGTTACTATTCACGGATATAAAAAATATCCGCGGTCACTATGCTTGTCAAAAATTCTACGTATACAACCAGTCACCCGTGCCGATTCGGACCTTTCATCCTACGACATGATTGAGTGACCAGAGGAACAAAAATGCATGCGACTCACTGCGAAAAATGACGTTATCTGCACTGGACCAAGGAAAGTCGTCGTGAAGATCCTCATCAAGCAGATACCACTGAGAATCCCTTATAGAAGTGAACACCGTGAAAAATTTCTTGAAAAACATAAAGACACATTGTTATTTGTGAACATTTTAATAATGGTAAAAATTGTGGCTCTAATAACTTGAAATGTTTTTATTTTATGGTTATAATTCTATAATAGACTTCAGTGCAAAGAAAACTGTAAGAAATAAAATTAATTCAAGTACAATGTGCTAAAGTACGTACATTCGTAGTTTTTGAATCGTAAGATTCTTAGAAGATAAGTGGAATTGAAGACTGTAGAGAATCTGTAACAAAACATAAAACATTAGAATTCGTATTTAAAAACGAAGCAGAATCTTAAGTTCCAGATAATGAAAGATTCTTACATTCTTGGTTTTAGAGCCACCGTTGAATTTTCCCCAATAAAATGCAGAAAAATTGATGCTATGAAGCCTCTGTAATAAATGTAAAACATTATACTTTATTGTTAAATTTGAAAAATTGAATAAACTGAAATACAATATATAAGACTACTTACAATCTTAATCTCCGGGAGAGGCCTTATCCTCTTGAGCACTGACTCTAATATATCGAAAACGAACACTGAACAAGAAGAAATACAAAAAAAAGAAAAATAAATGACTATCAACGCGTGTTTAAGTAACAATTGGCGGACTCACTGACTCTAACTTCGCGAATTACAATTTAAATTAATAGTCTAAAATAAGAACTATTTTACTCAGAAAAATATAAAAATATTTCGCAATAAACACTGATTCTATCAACCGCATTGCGGTCACAACAATTTTTTTAAAAATAAAAATAATCATTAGGGGCAGGGCGAAGAATACGTTTATTTAGAAAATACTGCTATTTTTCTAGAACATAATTAAAGAAGCTTGAATATATATTAAAGATATTAATTGTAACATATATTATATATAAGAATGAGTTAGTCAATTACAAGGTTATAATATTTGTACTGGTCAGAATTAAAATTAAATTTTGGTATAAAATTATAAATAACTTTTAGCATAGTGTGTCTATATAGTCTATTTAAATGTTTATATGCTATTATTTCTTTAACTGTTAAAAATTATATGTAATAGTTATTTGGTTAAATTTTTTTTACCTTGAGCCAAAAATACACGTTTTATTTTAAAAATTCACAACACAAACGCAAATCTAACAGCTATTGATTTATATTTTTACCTGAGAACTTTTGAATGTTTTGTTGTACGTTTTTCTGAATGATTCTTCTGGATCTTCTTTGCAGATGAAATGTGCTTCCTTCCGCCATGTTCCCGCTTAAAATCGATCGTGAGAAATATCGATATGTTTGAGAATCGTAGGAAGTGTGTTCCGTATTTCGCCGTTGGGGCGCTGCAATCGCACGTTTCGCACGAAGTAATAACTTGGAATAAAAAATAAAAAATTCCAAATCAAATACACAAAATTCATATGAAATTCGTAAAAAGGAACGAAAATACTTATACACTCGATGAAAAATTATCGGTACTTTAAACTTTAAGGCATGAGAAATTTTATTATATCATGCAGTAGAATTATTACTTTAGCCATTAAATACGTACATCCTTAATAAATTATTGTTGAGTTTAGTATTGGAATTGTTAAAAATTACGCTGTATGAAATTAAAGAATTAACAAATAAGTAGAAAATATTGTAATATAAATGCATGTGTAAAATACACACACACACATGTACATATATATACATATATATACATAATTATAAGTTAGTCAATTACAAGGTTATAATATTTGTACTGGTCAGAATTGAAATTAAATTTTGACACAAAATTGTAAATAACTTTTAGAATAGTATGTTCTATTCAAACGTTTATATGCTATTATTTCTTTAGCTATTGAAAATTACATGTAATAGCTATTTGGTTCAATTTTACCTTGAGTTGAAGCCAAGGAATTGAAAAATACACGTTTTATATTCAAAATTCAAAACACAAACGCAAATCTAACAACTATTGATTTAAATTTTTACCTGAGAACTTCTGAATGACATTTCTTTCTGGATGTTCTTCTGAATAACACTTTCTTTTTTCACAGACGAGGTGTGCTTCCTTCTGCCATTCTTCCCGCTTTAAAATCGATCATGAGAAATATCGATATGTTCGAAAATCGTAGAAGTGTATTCCGTCTTTCACCGTTGGAGCGCGTTTGCACGAAATAACTTAAAATAAAAAATAAAAAACTCTAAATCAAATAGATGAAATTCATGAGAAATTAAAAAAAATAAAACGAAAATATTCATACACTAGATGAAAAATTGTCAATACTTTAAACTGTTATAATTTTGTGAAAAGAAATTGTAGAACAATTAACTTGATTTTATTTTAAAGAGTGAATTTTATAAATTCTCAAATACGTTCGCAAATTGCGAAATATGTGCTAAAAGTAAAAATATTTGTAATTCTGTGAAAAAATATGCTAATACATAGCATAGATGGCAGCACAAACGTAAACAAGGAGAACTATAGTGTGTGACAAGAATAATAAAAGTTAGCTCCATCATTTCACCGCTATGCGGTGTTAGTATCTCAATGTCTAAGTGTGTTCTTTTTAATAGAAAACAAAAATAATTAAATCTTCATTTCCAAAAAAAAAATTAATTAGGAAGATTAATTTATGAACTTTTATATTCACGTCTTCTCGCTTTCTCGGCACATTTCATTCTGTGAAATACATGAATAAAGATTTCTAAATTCAACCAAATATATCGAATAAACCTGTTTAAATTTAATGAGTTTAAACCTAAAAAAACTTCAGCATTGTTAAGCTATTAAACGATTAACCATTAAATTAAATATCATTTGATTATAATGAAATAATAATTGATAGACACATCTAATAAACACTGAAATGAATACACTTACAAAGAATGTTTATTGCAAGATACGAAAGGCATGCCATCGACTTGCACATACCGAAACGAAATTACAAAAACAAACAAAGTGGTTGAAGCCTGCTGGATATGAAACGAATATTCAGATTTATAATCCTATAACAAAATGCAAAGTGCCGTTAATTTTAAAAAATAAAGATGTTTTAACATGGTACGTTTGCGGTCCTACCGTGTACGACTCGGCACATATAGGACACGCAATGTAAGTTTCATTCCTAATTGCAATATTTCAAGCACTAAAGTTTTATTGTACCGTTTTGAAATTACTTTATAAAGTAAACATAAATTCCTTTGCCAAATAAGTTTTGTTTGATTGTTAAAAATCACATTATCAACATAAAGTTTAAAAATAGTATCTCAATGTTTTCAATAATTTATTAAGAATGAAAAATTAAATTCTCATTTGCAGAACGTACATGCATTCCGATATCATCAGAAGAATATTGTCAGACTACTTCAATATAAATGTTGTAATGGCCATGTGTATAACAGATATAGATGATAAAATAATAACACGTTCCAATAGTTTGAAACAAAACTATACAGATCTAACGAGACACTATGAAAATGAATTTATCGAAGACATGAAGATGTTGAATATTACAGAGCCTCATTTGTATTGCAGGGTTACTAATTACATGCCAGAAATTATTCAGTTTGTGAAAGGCATTGTAGACAAAGGCAATGCTTATGTTCTAAAAGATGGTGAAATTTAAAATGTAACAGTTTAGCTGTTATTTCTGTTGTAAATTTTGACTATTACAAATGATAATTCTTCTTTTTGTAGGGTCTGTTTATTTTGATACTTCTAAATATGAAGTATATGGCAAGCTATCAACTCCAATATCAGATAGTTCCCATGCTTACAAAAAATCTGCATTAGACTTTTGCTTGTGGAAAGCAGCAAAGAAAAATGAGCCATTTTGGGAGTCTCCGTGGTCTCCTGGAAGGCCAGGATGGCATATAGAATGTAGCACTATTGCAAGGTAAAGTGTTATATTTTAATTTTCATTCTACATGTTATATCATATGTAATAAAACTATAGTTTATATTTCAATTAGCACAATTTTTGGAAATTCTGTGGATGTACATAGTGGCGGAATAGATCTTATTTTTCCACATCATGAGAATGAGGAAGCGCAATCATGTTGTTATCATGAGGTAGAACAGTGGGTCAATTATTGGATACATTGTGGATATTTATCTTTGCAAGACGTAAAAATGTCAAAAAGTCTAAAAAATACAATCAGTATAAGAGAATTTCTTGAAAAATATACAGCAAATCAGTTTAGAACTCTTTGTTTGCTTTCTAATTACAAAAATGGTATATATTTGGATGAAATTTATTTATATGTATGAAATATTAAGTGAATTTAACTTTTTACTTTTCAGAACTTAAATTTTCCAATGACATAATGAACAATGCAGTAGTTGTATTACATAAAATTGAAAATTTTATTAACGACTGTCGTAATTATATTATTGGAAATTGGGATATTGGTAAAGTAGATGAAGTTACCTTACTTCGTGTTAGTTATCTTATTACATTATATTATTTTACATAAATGTTGTATATTATATATATTTGTCATTGAATTAATATTTTAGTGTTTAGAAGAAACGAGGAACAGCATTAATATTGCATTAGCAAATGATTTTAAAACTGCACAAGCCATGAAATCACTTATGAATCTGATTGATGTAGGAAATAAAATGTTACATGATTCTCAGGTAAATATTTAGTATTTAGCTAGTATTAATTTACTGAGATAATAATACAGAGATAATAATGTTGTATTAAACATAGGATAGTGGAAAGACTTGCGGTACCTGCATACCTGCTGTAGCTGCAGTATTGAATTATGTAACAACAATGCTTTCTAAATTTGGAATTTCAAATCGTAATAAATCAAACGATCATAAAATAAACAATGTCATTGAATGTTTGATGAAATTTAGACAAACTGTGCGTAATAAAGCTTTGGAGCAAAATGTCAAAGATAAAACTTTACTTACAGCATGCGACGAAGTCCGATCGAAACTTACCGCTTGTGGTATAATAGTAAAGGTATAAACATTATTTGATTAATTTAATATTTTTAAGTTATATATTCTATATTTTAATTCTGTTATTCTAGGATCACAAAACTGAAACTATTTGGAGTATCAAGAAATATTAAATAATGATCAATAAAAACATTCATACAGTAATTTAATATTTTTAATTAAAAAAAAAACCTGTATTTACATTTATTTCCATACTGATTTTGGAGTTAAATTAACACAACTTACAATTAACCAGTCGAATTATTGTTAACTTTTAATTTCTTTGAGTTATCATTATTTTCGACATTTTTTCTTTTCACTCCAACTTTCTTTTCTGCCATTGTCTTTTTTAATCCTTTCATCTTTCTCGTTTGTATTCTATTAATATTTTGAGCACCAACATGTATACGACCATAAGTTGTTCCAAGTTTGTCTACAGATATATTCTTCTTCTTTTTAACCTATAATTAAATATTAGATATATTTAATTAAAAATACGCACTAAATCATTATTTTTAAAAATAAAATTACGTATTACCTTAAGCTCTTGCGGTTTTTTACAAGCTTGCTTAAACAAATCTTCAGAAGCAAGTTTTGTACGCCTACAAATTAAATCTGCTCTTGGGCCAATTTCTACTAATTCAATTCTTGGTATTCTACAATCAGATTTTTTCAAACATATCCTAAAACAATTTTAGTAAATAAATTACTTTTAAAATAATTTTGCATATCAATATCCAATACAGTTTAGAAGAAAACTAATATACCTATAACTGCGTAAAAGTATTTTATTCTCAACTGCAGTGAAACTTAAAACATGTTCCAGACCTTGTAACCTGATTTTTCCAACTGTATTCCTTTGAAACATATCCACAAGCAAATTTTTTATTCTATTGAACTCGTGATTATTTTCAAAAAGTTCTCCATTGAAAACTAACAAAGGTTTTATTCCTTCTGAAATTTTTGGAACCTTAAAATCTTTCAATCCTGTATAATTTTCTATGCCAAATTCTGCCATATCTAATAATGTTTTTTCGTACATTCTTCCCATTATTAAATTGTGAGGACGTTTTTTATTGTGCAAGGCAATCATAAAAAATGGAGCATTATATTTTACAGAAAACTTTTCAATAGGTATTACATCTTCAAATGGTAATATATCATTTTTCTTTTGCATTATTTGTGCATCTGGTTTCTTTAAATCATACTAAAATCAAACATCAATCATATCATTCATATAAAACATTTTGTGTAATAATCATATATAGTTCAACTTACCAAATCTTTCATAAAATTTACTACAATCTGTGAAGTGTTTTTACCTTTAAAACACAAAGTTTGTTTAGTATCTTCTATTAATTTCGGTTCTCTTTTTAAAATAGCTCTTTTAGCCTTGTGGGTAGTCGGTTTTCTACAATAAAAATTACATTTACATTTCTAGGATAGAAAATACATACATTTGTAACGATATATATAACCATAACCAAAACGTCTTATTCCGTATAAAGTTAAAGATACCTACACGACTCTTTGTATTACAGTCATAGTGATTGACAATTAATTTCAGAGAATGTACTTTCTTGAAATTGTACAAATGTTAATAGACTATTTATTGTTTAAAACACGTCACGTCATACGATACACGTGGTTCGACACAAAAAACCATACTACACAAGGGAGTTAGACGACTACGTTTAGAACCATGGCAGTTGTTGACCTATAACCTAATCATAAAGTTTCTAACCTTCAATAAAATTATTTTTTTCCAATGTTTCATGAATTATTTGTTTCTATATAAATATATATATATATATATAATATATATTATATATATATATTATATATTATATATATTATATATATATATTATATAATATTATATATATTATATGTTTCTATACAAATATATTCGATGTTCTCTACAATACGGTGGAAAAAAAATTATTTGTTTAATCCAAAGTGACCTTGATTTAGCTTTGAAAACAAACAGTTTTCGAAATTTTTTTTTATTACACCTACTGTACACCCTGTACCATTCAACTTTTGTTCTAAACTTTTTTTGTCACATGACTGCAAATAGGTATATATGTCCTTGTCGCACGCTGTTGCTCTCCTTGTCTATCGTGAAAATATGTCCGTCCTTGTCGCATACTAGTGCTCTCATTGACTAATGATGCTAGACAAGGAAAGCAACAGTGTGCGAAGACAACTTTCGATCTATTGAAAAAAAAATTCAACTTTTTACACACACGTTTTTCCAGGACTAAACACACATAGAATGAAAAAGGAGAGCCCAATTTTAAGGAGGCATATAAAAAAGTTCGCAAATTATTCCTCTTAATTAGGTTTTCTTCGTAATTAGTGCGAACTGTCACAATATGGACATGGTGGCGCCATCTAGCGGTAGCCCAGTGGTACTAATTATATACAAAAATACTTATTTCTGCATTTTACGGGTCAAATGTCGTATGAAAAGAAAACTGAGGGTCTAATTAGGATAATACAATCACAAAAATCCACAATTCATGTCGCTAAATTAGGTTTTTTTGCAAATGAAAATTTCTCTGTTTTACGGGGTAAGAAACACTAGCGCCGCGTTGTGGCAGACCGGTGGAACTAAACGCTCTATAACGATATGAGGAAAATAAATAATTTTAATTTTTCACGATACAAATTTGCACTCTACGATCACATATTTCAAAGATAATGCTATCAGTTACGTTCGCAAATAAATGTGAATCCAATGTTCACTATAGTTTCCGAGAAATTATGCGCACATTACTGGCAGTACTACTAACGTAAACGAAATTGAAACATTCTTTATATACGTAAACTATACTTAAACAAAACATAAAACTGCAGTTTAGGGTGTCTAAAATCGAAGACGCAACGATAATAATTCACAAACGATTCCTTTTAATTAATTTCTTCTCGTAATTTGTGGAAAAACTGTCACCTGTCAGTGTTTAGAGGTAATGGTGGCGCCACCCATTGGTAACTCGGTGGTACTAAAAGTAGAAAATTCTGTTTTTAATACCATCGAGTTATCAATAGATGGCGCCACCATTACATCTAAACATTGACAGATAGTTTTTTAATATTATATTATTTTTTAACTTCATTGATCAGTATTTTGGATTGATCTTTTTATTTTCGTTAGCCTTCTGCTGTTCTCTTTCCTTCATTAGTCTTTTATATTCTGCTTGTTTCTCCATTTGTTTTCGTTTCCGTTCAATTCGTAAAAGTTCTTCTTCAGACACTAAAAATTATTTATATTTCATATAACATTAGTTCTTAAATAAATAAATCTTTGATTAATTTACCTGATTTTGAATCTTGTTCTATTTGAACAATATTTTGTTCTTTATGGTGACTCACAACATTTGGTTGAAAGTGACTTTTCACATCATTTGAAGTTTTAAGTGGTATTTGTGCAACAGGACTGTTTGATCTAGGTTGTAGAAATATTTCCTCCTTTGTTGTACTTGGGATTTTCTGTTTCAATAGATTGTCTAAAAATTATATAACGTGATCAAATATTTCAATATATTCAAATATTGAATTCATGAAGATCTTAAAATCGTATGAACCTGTCTTTTGCTTTTCTTCATCATTTTTGTTAGATAAAAGTGGAGTTGATTGGGCACACGGTTCTAGTGTAGTAAATGAAGAATATTGCAAATCTTCTTTTTGAGTGTTAGGTATACATGAGTTTGGTAACTTTTTTGATAACACTTGTATCTCAGTGTTTATTACTTTACCAAAACATGATAATACTTTTTTAAAAGCATCTGTAAGAGAACCCTGAATAAAATAATAAAAACAAAAATACTTGTGTAATATACATGAAGATCAGATATTCAAACATTACACATACAATCCTTGCACAATGTATCGATAAACCTTTCATAGCTTCCTCTGTATAACAATATCCCATGTCTTCGTGAAATGTTCCATCCTGTAATTGAATCTTCACAAATGTCACACATCCACAAACATATTTACCCATAAAAGATTCAACAAAATCTAAAACATATATTTGTGTAGTAAAGCGTCATCATAAAAATATTAATACAACAAACAAATATGTAATTAATAAAATCCACAAGAGACACACCTATTGTCTGATTAGTAATAGTGTGACTCCATTTTCCTTCACCAAGTATTTGATTCGCTAATAATATTAAATCATTATTAAGAACTAAAGTTTCTTTTAAATTTAATTTTTGTCCATATGTATTTATCACATTTTGTTTTGAACTTGTTGATGGCTAAAACAAAAACAATCTTACTCATATCTGATTCTGTTAATATGTCACTCTAATTCCAAATCATTTATAATGTACTTACAATTTTTATACAAGATGGATAATTAGTTGCACTATCCATGACAATACGTACTACTTGAACGGTTAAACGAGTTTCAAATTTTACGATATATGATAGTTGCAACTATTGTACTACTCCATTATCGATACTTTCGATACATCGAACGTTATTTCATCGACCATTTGGCGGCAATTTTAAAATTTTAATCGTTCATTTTAGAATTAGCGACGAATTATTCATACAATATAAAGTACTTATTAAAGAAAATATAACTCTTATATGTATCTTGCCTTTATATTATACTTGATGTAACAATTTATAAGAGAGAAATCATTTTCTACTTTATATTTTACATCCTTACAAATTACATACATTTTAGTTACTTTAGGTATGGTAATAATAACGGTAGTATAATTTATTTTATATATTTATTTATACAATAATCATTATAATAAATTATATATATAATATATATTTATATTATGCGTGTGTAGTGATAATATATATTGCATAGAAATAATGTTTGACACGATTTTGGCGAATAGATTGGCTAAATTATGCCTTGTGACTCACACAATTAATTGCAACTGATACTCACCACACTCTTGCTATCTTTTGATTAAAATCACCGTCGAGCCTCTATATTTTAATTTTGGACTTTGCTTTCTTTCACTCGTAGATAAGAATATGTGCTCTATTAAAAAGTAGCAAATTCCTATTTCATTCGATAAATTAGCAATATAAAATCTGTCGAAAAACGCATAATTTGCAACAGAGTATTTCTACATGTAAAAAAATAATTTGAAGAGAATATCTTTTGAATTACAGTAACAAATTGTTAGATGAAAATATTTATTGTATTTATTTTTATCATTTAAAAATAAAAAATTTTAATATGTAATGAAGATATTGCTACTTTTTAATATACACAACTGTTAGTTCGCTCTAATATTATTATACTTCTTAATAATCTTACCTAGAAGAACGTCTGTCTCACATTTAATTATTTAATACAATAATCATAAAGTATATGTAATAAGTAAAATTCTTAAACCCGAGGCGATAGTTCTATACATATACACTGATCTTTTTTAGTAGGTTGAAATACCTAAACAACAGTACTTTTAACAGACACACAGTCACACTTAGTGTCATTGAGCTGATCGTATTACATCTAATTGGTTTTCAATCTATTTCATTATAATTATAACATAAAAGTGAAAAGTGTTTTACTATGATATGAGCTACTTATACAAACACAGGCAGCTGTTAAAGAAAATTCTATGAACGTGCTCTGGAAATATTGCTTCTATATATCGCATAAATGACATAAAAGGAGAAATGTGTGTTCACATACAAAAGAACAACTTACACATTCATATACTTAAACGCCATCATTTGAGCTATTACTGGGATTAAATACAAGTATTGCTATTCCTAAATTTATAATATATCAAAGAAGAATTTTCGATTGTTTAGGAAAATGTTTTTGATTACTATAAATATTAGTGAACACGATAATTTTTAAACACTTTCTTTTGGCACTATAAAATATTGTACGATATATATATTAAAAAAAACAAAACGGTATTATAAATAATGTAATGAATTTGCAACTGATCGTAAAGGGTTTCTGGCAATTCAATATGGTTACTAATGATTCATAAAATTATTTCTATTATGTACTTCGCATATTCGTGTATTATATACATGAGATTCTAGTAATGCAACAATATATCTAACTAAAAGTTATACGCGACAAAATATATCCTTAAAGAATAAATAGTGAAACAATAACAAGTTAAAAATCTTACATGTAGATAAAAATATTCTCTCTATATATATATATATTTATATAAATTTAAACATAGTTGCATCAAGACCCCACATAGATTGATAAATAGCACTATGTTACAGATTACCGCGTGTAAACAAAAGGGAAACCATTATAAAATAGGATTTTTATTGTATCTTATCAAACTACCCGAAAACTGACGCTTAAACGCTTATTTGGCAATAATTATAGTTCACCTAAATATTTCTCCCTTTATGCCTCGGAGCAAATCTAAATGTTGCACATACGTGTAATAGTAGTTGAATGACAAGATGCACAAATTTGTAAAGAAATAGAAACAGTACAAAAAAATAAACATAATCACAGTTGAGTTGGCAGGCAGGTGGGCAAATGCAGGCGTATTATTGGACAGGCTCGCTCGACATGCGCTTCATCGCTCTTTTTTCTTTTTTTTTTTATACATGATTTTTGTGTTACTTGGTCGACATTATATTTCAATAGCCTGCTAAGCCCGTTTCATTGACAGACTCATTCTTAAACGTAATCATTAGTTCCAGGACTCGTTAAAGGTTCCTGAGCCTATTGAAATTAAACAAAAAAATTATACAAAATACATTTATATCGAAATTGAATGAATAAATGAAGAAAAAGTATGTAAACAACATACGCAATTCTTGCTTAACGAAATGATACATCACACACAGTAATTACCTCTTCTCCAACCGTAGCAGTAGGGAGTGGAAACCTATTCTTTTCAAGACTAAATTGATCTTCTGTGGTTTTCCTATACACAGGATTATCAAAGTTCATACTCGTTACATTACGATGAAGATAATGCCTGTAGCATAATACTGCCACTAATGCAAGGAGTAACAGCCCTAAGGACGCCACGCCTATCACTATACCAGCGACTAAACCAGGATCTGTGGATTCAGATGTCAGATCATCTTTTCCATCTCCATCTGCCGAATGTGTTGGATCTAAAACAAATTGAGATGAAAGAAATAAAAACACGAATCAAGCTAGAAATAAAACTGACTAATTAAAGAGCTACGATCATCAAAAGCATTTTATAATATAAAACCATTTTTAACCATTTATAAAACTAGCATGCCTCTCATGTAACAGTATGTACATTGTTGTTAATACAAAACTGTACAAATTATAAGCCAAACCCAAATGTTTTGGATCAATTGATTATGAAAATATATAACCGAACGATATGGAATTCGTGCAAATATACTTACGAGTAGTCGTAGTCACGTCGAAGGGTTCAAGTCTCTTGAATGGTTTGCTAATTTCTTGCGTTGTGGGTGCTACAGTTGTACTTACTGGATATCATCCCATATTCATGCAACATCGACGCAAAATAATTATAATAAGTAATAAAATAATAAATGTACATGAGCATGATAATTGTATAATTTATTACGAAACAAATGAATTGATTAATGCATCTCGATAACGATACAACAATAAAAAAAAAAACTTTTAACATGCTTTACTAAAAGCTTTTGCTTGTACTTAAATCGTAAGCATTATTCCTATTACAAGATAGCATGCAATACTCTAATTCTTCGACTCGTTGAACTCGACTTCATTCTTTCGACTTCAATCAATACATGCATGTTAAAAAACCAATGCATGTAATAAATATATGAGAAAAATAATCGACATCGTCGGTATCGCTTACCTTTCTCCACACACATTAAACCGTCAGGTAACAATCTTAGGCCATCTGGACAAGCACAACTAAGAAGAGGTGATTTCGAATTAATTCTTGGTGCTGGTAAACACAAGTGACTGCAATGGCCATTCACAGCCTGACACTGATTCATTCCGTCTGGCTGTCTGTACGGATGATAAACATGAACGACCATTGGATATTTCAGAGTTCGAAGCGACGTTACAGCTTCGACAGATTTGCCAGTGAATTTATTTGCTTTAAATATCGCCTCTTTATCCCAGTCGGTCCAATATACGTAGTCCTCAAACGTCGTAATACTGAAGGGATGCCTCAATACTTCCGGAGAATACAGAACCGTTCGTATACCTGAACCATCGTAGTTACACGATCCAATTATATTCAGCTTCGCATCTACCCAGTATATTTTCTTGCCGATCAAGTCCAGAGTCAGTCCATTTGGCCACTGTACGTCATGATCGACTATTACCTGCAAACAATAAACCCGACATATTAGAAACTTGATTGTTACATTAATCCTGGAAATATCTAAATTGACTTTTATATCAAAAGAATTGAAGAAAAAATGAATTTCCTCGGTAGGAAGTTACTTTATGTCGTTTTATTTGTCATTATCATTTTTTTTTTTTAATTTATCGTTCTATTGACTCTAAATAAAAGATTAGGGATTAGAGGTGAAATGTATACATTTAAAATCATATATTCACGAAAGCAAAAAATGCTTATAGCCATAAGATTTCAACAGGTTGAAAGGAAAGTCGGCCTCCTAAAAAGATTCATGAAAGATTATTTTAACGACTCAGGCTCATTCTTTCTTCAATCTCATCATAGATCTACCGTTCGATGAGATCCGTCCATGCCCGCTTTTTCTATGCGGGCTTCGTCGCTCCAATCGGTCCAAAACATCCAACCCTCCAGTGGGTTCAGAGCTATCGCTCTAGGTTCTTGCACCCGATCTCGGATCAACGTTTTCCTCATATTACCCTCGAAATTGGCCAACTCTATGGTACTCTTCTTGGAATCGGTCCAATAAATATGACTATATATCCAGTCAACGGCAAGTCCGTCCGACGTTGTCAAACCATCGTCAATCACAACTGTACGCTCGTTGCCTTCGTCTATCGGAGCTCTAAACAATGACACAACAAATATATAAGTATAAAAAATAGTATAATAATATACTATTATATTATATTATATTATATTATATTATATATATAATATTATATATTATAATATATTATATAAAATAGTATATAATAGTATAAAATAATATAAAATAATATATATTATAATAGTATATAAAATAGTATGTATAAATATATAACAAAGAAAAATAAGATCACGAGCAGATTGCGGATTCTGATGCATTTCAATTTAGCATGTGGCTTCCGAATGAGTCGAAATGTTCGCAATCTGATTGCAAGAAACGTTCGATCGTTGTAGCTCTTACTTGTAGATCTTCTTTTCGCTGCTGTCACTCCAGAAGATCATGCCCGTGCGAAAAACGAAATCCAAGGCCGCGGCCATTTTCGTATCTTTCACTATATTCGTCATTTCCAAACGATCCAGCGCCACTTTTCTTATATCGTGTCTTCTGGTAAAAAGTAGGCTGGCGTGGCCTTCCGCCGCCTTGCAGCGAGTATGGTTCCTGGGATCTTTAAGATAACCCGGGGCGCAGCTGCACTTGAAACCGCCCTTCTCGTTCAAACAGAACTGGGAACAGCTGCCCGGTTCCAAGCATTCGTCTATATCTGAAACGAGAAATGTAAATATCTTTTAAACACGGTCTCTCTCTTTCTCTCTCTGGTCACGAAAATTTCATTATTTTTACTCTTCGTTACAAAGAATTTGCAAGGGAGAAAGAAGGAGTGTCCCACTGAAACATCATAAGAGCGTACTCGTTACTTTCTCATGGAGTTTCGTGAGATGTAATAGAAAGAGGCTTGTGAAGAAAAGTGGAAAAATGCTCACATTCAGGCGAGCGAGGAAGCACTCGCACGTGTGACGAGAAAGAAAAGGTGAAGTGCGAGCTTTTCCCTAGAGAACCTTGTAATTGCGTTGAAGACTCATCTGTGCATTAATCGAGTTATCTTTATTTCGTGAACACATTCTGCATCGAGCCATAATTATTTGTACGCCACTTAAGTCGCAAATTAATCACTTTACAATTAATCTGCAGATATTTGTGCATTTTCTGGGAAACTTAAAGATGCAAATGTACCGTATAACAAAAATAACAGAAAATGTCCAAAACACATTACTCGCTTATACTCTCGCGATGTTAAAATCTCTGCTTATGAATAAATGAATATTATATTATAACAAACTGCTACATGCAACAATATCCTTATGCATACTCTTATACTGTTATTCATACATTATTGCTGGAAACCGTTCGCTCCGTCATTGTCGCGTTTTCCAAACACCGCGCCGCCGCAGCTGCACCGTCAACATGCATTTTAATGAATTCAAACACGCGAACGAATTAATATAATATAAACAATGAAAAATGATTAATATTTCAGCAGTAGCGATTTCAACATTGGCATCGATATATACATTATCGTTGAATATCTCGTGCCTTACCGTCGCAGGTTCTATTGTCAATCAGCCTGTATCCCGCGCTGCAATCACACCGGAAGCCGATTGGCAGATCGATGCAAATTTGCGAACACCCGCCGTTGTTCTTCAAACACTCGTTCACGCCACAAAGATCTTCGTTCTCGTCCTCCCAGCCGATGCAATCACGGTTTTTGTTGCACACGCTGGAAAGAGGGATACACGAGCCCTCGCTACATTCGAATTGTGTCGACGGATCGCAAACGGTGGTTTTGCTGGTGCAATTCTTCTCGTCGCTGCAGTCCGCGCATTCTGGTTTACCGTTGCAGTATAAGTGGCCTGGAAAAAATATTTACTTAACGTAACGTCACAGTGCGTGAAACGCAATACAGAGAAGAAACACGACAAGCTTATTTCTGTTAATTTTGCGATCCTGTGTCAGTCGGTGGATAAAACGAAATTTACTACTAAAAATTAATGATTCTGAATATTTAGGGAAAAGAGACTCTTTCGAGTTTGTAATATATATAAAATGTAGAATGTATTATACTATATAATATTATACAGCATTTTCAGAATGTAGAATATTCTTTCAAGTACAACGTAACAATAAATATTGTTTTATTAATATTTCTATATGTTATACTATATAATATTATAGTATATATAATACTACATGATATTTCTTTTCTTATATATGTATCGTACATACAGGGAAGAAACATGACAAGCTAATTTCTGTTAATTTTGCGATCCTGTGTCAGTCGGTGGATAAAACGAAATTTATTACTAAAAATTAATGATCAAAACGTGAATATTTAGGGAAAAGAGACTCTTTCGATTGTAATATATATAAAATGTAGAATGTATTATACTATATAATATTATACAGCATTTTCAGAATGTAGAATATTCTTTCAAGTACAACGTAACAATAAATATTGCTTTATTAATATTTTTATATGTTATACTATATAATATTATAGTATATATAATACTACAATGATACATATAATGTTATAGTATATTTCTTTTCTTATATATATATATCGTACATACAGAGAAGAAACAATAAAAATTGTTTTATTAATATTTTTATATGTTATCCTATATAATATTATAGTATATATAATATCATAATATATTTCTTATATATATATATATATATATATATATATATATATATATATATATCGTACATACAGAGAAGAAACATGACAAGTTCATTTCCGTTAATTTTGCGATCCTGTGTCAATCGGTGGATAAAATGAAATTTACTACTAAAAATTAATAATCAAAACGTGAATATCTAGGGAAAAGGAGACTTTCGAAATTCTCTCTTGGAAATTAGGGTGACCGGGCACACGTGACTTGATTACGTGATATTAATCATCGGTTATATTCCACCAGGGTATACTGCGCGTCTCGTTTATCAAAATTACTGACGAAAACGTGTATTACACGTACCCTTTGCCGACGTATTAAAACGTTTCAGCGCAACTACGAGGAAAGGGTTTCCTTTTCTTTTTTTTTTTTTTTTATAAACTTTCTACTCCGAATTAGGGTATTTACGTTACGTCGCGCGTTATGCAATTGTGAAAAGTAGCGTGTATCTCTGTCGGGTGTTACAGAAAAGGTAACTTGTTGAATTCTCTTGTAACTATGCTTACCTGATATACAATTACGACGATCCTCGCATTGGAACTGATCCGGTCTGCACGTTACGTTGTGACACTGTTTTGGCAACTCGTCGGCCCCGTTCGGACAATCTTTCTCACCGTCGCACACCCAACTTTTGTGTATGCACGTGAAATCATCGTCGCAGTCGAAGTCCTCGTCCTTGTTGCAATGGCTCGGTCGTTCGCCGTTCAAATACTAAAAAGAGATTTCGTCTCGAGTCTTTCACGTTCTCCTTCCGGGAGCAGGTCTCGATTTTTCTCTCGTCTATTTCTCTGACATCGTGATACGTACGTAGGAAATTGGCTGAAGGTATGTTAATTTCGAAGATACAGATCGCCGAGAAAATGATCAATGTGTACGTTCACTATTGAAACACACGAGACGTGTGAATGACACGAATGATTTTCCCATTTCGATGATACCTCGACCGAATGATCATTCGTATTACAACGAAACATTCGACAAGAAACACAAGATAAAAAAGAAGGTTCTTACGTTAACGCATAATATTTGTGACAAAGAAATTAAAGTGCAAGATACAACTAGAGATTAATAATACGATAAATAACACAAACTTCTGTTAATATGTTTTATCAAAGATCACTTGAGTATCTAAAAATACGCTGTTACAAATGGATAAAATTTCCATGGAAATTGGTCATTTTAACCAATTATAAATTGGTCATTTTGATCACTCGAGTATCTAAAAATACGCTGTTACAAATGGATAAAATTTCCATGGAAAATTATAAATTGTTCATTTTGACCACTCTGATAGTTCTAGTGTCAGACTGTAGTGCATTGGCTCGATCGAATTGAAAAAAGTAACTCGAGTAAATGTTAATCAGTTTCACCACTTTCACTATTTACTATCATTAAATTGACTTTTACGAAAAGACGGAACTACATATACGTAAACTGAAAAGAGAAAAAGAACGAGAGTCGTCGAGTCGGATGAATTTTTTCCATTCAAAATGTCGAAGATTGGAATGTTGATAAAATTACATTAATTTCTTTCTACTTGTGTGTTGCTTTTCGAATCATTAAGAAATTTGTCAAATCGATCGGATTGGAGGGAATAGAAAGTTACTGTGTGTTACTGATGCTGGAAAATGAAACGTTTTCGAAATCGATGGTCTTTCTTTTTACCGTGCATCCGATTTCATCGGCTCTGTCTGGACAATCGAAGTCACCGTCGCATCTCCATCGTGACGTTATGCAATAATTCTTTGAACAGGCGAACTCCGACGGGCCACAGGTGACCGGTTTGCAATCTTTCTCGTCGCTGCCGTCCCCGCAGTCATCGTCGCTGTCGCACACCCACGATTTCTGGATGCAGTGCTTGTTTGCGCACGTGAACTCGTCGGATCGACAGGTGTCGTCTGGAGAAGACGCGTTTCACGTATAAGAAGCGGAATAAACAGACGTAGTGAAAAACGATTTCAACGATCTACGCACACGTGACGAATTCGCTCTCGGCGAATCCATATTTCAAATACATAAATACATGGAATTTTACATAATAATCGAAAGATATTTGTGAAGATATCTGTGTCTTTCCAAACGTATTGAAATTTCGAGACAAGTTATCACGAACGCCGCGTGAAATATCAATTAACGGCGAGAGTTACTTCGATAGAAATCTGACGGGACTTGATAAAATTCGACAAAAGGTCGAATGAAAATTATTCGACGAAAATTGCAATTTGCGATTTTTCTCTCTTTCGTTTATTACTGATACGATGTTTATTCATATCGCGCGTAAAAGTCGTAGACCGTCTGCGTTTCTTGAAATTTACATTTCAAGTAGATCTTCAGGAGAAAAACCTTTTCTCTTAGATGGTCGCGGTATCTCTCTCGTTTCAGAAACTTTTCAGAGAGCCGAGAAAGCCAAAGGTCGAAAAAATGTAAATGGAAACAGAATGATACTTCACATTTTGGTGAAAAATCATTCAGCAGCATTCTTGAAGAAAAAGATAAAAAATAATAAAAAAGAAATGGTAATAATAATGAAATATTTAATATTAATGGCAATAATAATGAAATATTTAATATTAAAATATCAAGCAGGTGGTCTAAGACTTCTACGCGTAAATTTCTTCTCATCCTACCAGATAAAGCAATAAGATATTACACATCTAAGCAACAACGAAAAAAAATATATGCAATATACATGGATGCAAGGCAACGTATCTATCTATCTAAATATCCACGATACGAAGATAAAACAGAAGAGCTAAAGACACACAAGTTGGTTAAAACGAAACTCGAAACACGGAGGACCGAGTCGTAAAGATCAAGAACCTCTAACTTTCCATCATGTTAAGTTTTAGTTTTGTAAAAGAAAAAAAACAAAAAACTTCGGATCTCGGCGGCGTCGCGAACACCACGACGCGTAGTAAATTATGCAAGAAGATATTTGCAGTTTCGAGAGGAAGAAATAAGTTTCTCAGCATGTAGTCGCGTAATTAAACGGCGTAATTAACCGGTCCTTGATCAACGACAAGCGCATACCGCCACAACGACGTTGCCTCGCATTAAGTGCATGACATTAACAGCAAGAAACTACTAGCTTGCTCGTGCAACGAGCCTACAAATCAGGGGTTGAATCGTTCGTTATCCACGAGAACGTACACGAGTTTCACTCGTCTCGATGGAATAGCACGAACACGCTCGCGAACGAAGAAAAAAAATCACGTGCTTCGCGAGCACGCTATACTCACGTAACACCGATTACTCTTGCTGAAATCAGAAAATGTTAAATTTTCTACGGTGACACGTGTGCGTATACGGAATTAAATAAAATCTCGTCGTTTTCAATCCTTTGCGGTTGCCACGTGGAATTCTCTTTCCTTTTTTTTTCTTTTAATTCTTGACTGTTCCCTTTCAGTTCGAATTTTTTGTACCTTGACATTTCGGTAAGATCACCAAAGTGTGTAATTTTTCAGAAGAGGAAAGAATTGGAATTTAATACATGGAATATTTATAGAGACATTCGTACAGTGGGTGTAGAAAGTATTCGTACAGTGATTAATCACGACCAAAATGCTGAATGATAATATTTATTAACCAATATTTTTTAAACAAACATGCACGATGATTATCTGGAACGAGCAATTCGAAAACATACAATTTCATCTGAAACAGACTTAAAAAATGCTTTAATCAACGAATGGAATAATATCGGAAATAAAATTACATCCAATTTGGTTAATTCAATACCTAGAAGGCTAGCTGCAATAATAAAGTCAAAGGGAAACCCTACTAAATATTAATTATAAATATTAATTTTACAATTATTTGTTGTTTCTGTTATAAATGTTTAAGTTACACTTGATAATGACAATAGAACTGTACGAATACTTATTACGCGTTCATTTCTGTCATTTTGTCCGTTTTTTTTGATATTTATATGAACAATATGAATATTTCTTTTTTTTTGTTTATTTGATATTGCTGTTCAACAGACTTTGGAGAATGGATGTAGCATGTTTGTTCAAAAAATATTGTTTAATATATAAATAAATTATTAATATATATATAATATATATAATATATAATAAATCATTAATATATACAATAAATATTATTATTCAGCATTTTAGTCGTCATTGTACGAATACTTTTTACACCCACTGTATATAAATACAAGCTCACAAATGCCGGTATGAAAAAGTCATAAGAAAAATATAAAATAACGAGAGATTGGTCGATTCGTTCGACGAAATATCGGATTTCAACAAAAATTCAAGAAGTGTTTCCACTTTTCACAACGGTCTGACATCATGCTCCGTTGTACGACGTTCGACGAGATTGAAACAGAATTATTCGTATTACTCGTATTTTCATTCGAATATAATGAAATATATTTTTCGTTAAATACAACGATTAAAAGTAGAAGAGTTTGTAAAATTGCACTGTACACGCCAGGTTAAATTTCAGCCCCTATCGTATAATTTATCAAATTAGCAACGAGATACTTTGTTGTTTGCCTGACCATCGTTCGCTCTTGAAACGGGTTCCGGGCCTTCCCAACGGCAAGAAATCAAATACGCGGAGGCGTGAAAAAGCTATTTAAAAGAATTGATTGCTGGAAGAGGTGGAAACGGTCTTTGGAGAGACAATTACGGCGGGAAATCGGCGAAAGGAACGACGCAATGCATTTAATAAGAGGCGGTAATTTCACAAAACGGTCCCCTCGAATCTTATTACGAACACGGCCGATATTTATATTAGTTCGAGTCCAATTCAAGTTGTACAAGCCGAGTCTGTTTGATCACAGAATTCATTCGTGATCGATTTCTTTTAATTTCAACTCGTAGTGTTCGCGAAATTCTTTGTGCAAGTTCTCTCGACGTCTATTAATTGCCTTTCCTTCAAAGGTTCTTCGGCGAATAAAAATCCTCTGACCTGAGCGATACCTAACGATCAAAAGGATCAAAGAGATGCCTGTCAATTCAGGTTAACACTCGTTTAAATAATAATAACACATTGAAACGAAAGGCCAATCAATCACTGTATTTAATTAAGAAGAAACTATTCTCTTTCAATTTAGTCGTCGTCGTTGCAGTTTTTTCGTTTGCAAGTTTTTAATGCAAGAATGTTGAAATTCACTTTATCTGAAATTCCAACGAGCACTGCTCTCTGGATATTTGATACATTTTTACATATCAGATGCCTTCTCTGTGTGTATGTGTGTGTGTGTGTGCGTGTGTGTGTGTATCTCTGCTTGAAATTTTGCAGAAATACGCATATAAAAATGCATAAAAATCCTTAGCGCCGAGAGAGGCTGGAATATTTCAAATTGCGTTACATTTTCGTATCGCGTTCTGCGTACGCGTCTCTTCGAGTTCCACGAACAATCCTTCATGCAGGTAACAATTGTAAATATACGTATAAATGGGAGTAAAGTTCTTTGAACGCGCAAAGGATTGAATCACGTTGGCACGCCATTGAAGAAGTGAAGGAAAAAACACAATAGAGAGAAACAAAAACTACGGATACAACAGCGTTAACGGGACAACAAGACCGCGAATCATTGCGACGAACAAAATCGATCGGTGTCCTTGCGATGAAAAATTCAGGAAATGCATATATATATATATATATATATATATGTACGTATGTATGTATATATTTCGTAGCTTGTGCAACCTGGCCACGAAGAGTCGGTCGTCTAAAGCTTTCCCAAGGAAACCAAGCGTTTTTCGGAAGGAAAAAGAGTTCCGCTGACAAATTTGCTCGGGCATGACTCGAGGTTACTCCCCGCCGAAGAAAGTTATATATTTACATGGGGAAATACGCTTCCACGATGATATCTCGAGTTAGTTTTTAAAATTGGACAAATCCCTGCATGCGAGACGTTTCGAATGATAAAAAGGTTGAGAAGGAGAATTGGACGAATAAAAGATAATACAAAAATAAAAATGGCATCAGCTTGGCTTAGAAAGAGTCACATACCCGAGGAGAGTGAATTTTTGAAGAAACTTCGCTTCGAAATAAAAAAAGGAACTATTAATTTTTTACTTTTGTTTTAACCTCTTGCGCTGGAACGACGTGCCACGCACGCCGAGAATTTTTTGTCCCAAAGTTGCAATATTTTCTCAGTTTGAAGTATATTTAAGTATAATAACATTTTAGTAATAATAAATTTATTACTTCTCAATAATTTCTATCCAGTGATATCATACTGACGAGCCCAAACGGAAAAGAAAACGACGAATTATTGTACACGGCTCGGTCACTCGTTACGGTCCGCAATCAGTTGCCAGCGCAAGTGGTTAACTTTTACACTACCCTGACAAATAATTTACTCTTACTGATTCGCCGATGATAATTAACAATTAATAAGTTGTTTGACGTGTCCACTCTTCAGAAATAAATGAAAAATGAAATACGAGGGAAGAGGGAAAACAGAGAAAACTGGCGCGACGTAATTGAAAAGGAAAAATGCATTATCTACGATCTGGGAATCGTGCGGTTGCGTAAGGGGAATCTAATTAGGAGAAAATGAAAACGATCCTCGTAATCGTAACAATTACATTTAGTGCGTGATAAAAAGGGCAGCAAGGGTGCCGTAATATCCGTTGGACATTGCAAGATTTGCGTACGTGCGACAATTGTTAATTAGAGGGAAGCATGCAGCATGCTACGATCGCGAAAGCACACGACGTTGCTGAATATTAATCCTTAAAACACCAGAAGCCGGATAGCCAATTCTTGGTTGTTTCGCTTCTGTTCTACCACCGGAGTCCAACGTGGACTCCGACGATTCTAACTTTTAATATCCACCGTAATAAGCGCGTCACGTGAGAAACACGCCTGGCATAATATTAAAGAAATAACACGGTTAAGATCTCTTACAACTGGATTATTCTATCTCGCTTTTGGCAAAAGTGTCGCGAAAATTGTTTCGAGAAGAAACTTTTGAAGAGCGAAGCTTCGAATTTATTCTAGTCAGATTCGAGATTAGAAAAAAAAAGGAAGAAGAGAATTTTTAAAAGTCTAAAAATAAATAGGAAGGACCTGGAGGATGGTGTTTTGGAAGTAAAGTTTCAAATTTATCGCAATCAGGCTGAAGTTGGATCGCGTTTCACACAAACGAACCAAAAAAAAGGAAAAACAGGACGAAACGGCTCTTGAAACTTTCATGGAAGAAACAAAAAAGAAAAACAAAAACACGTGGCTGCTTAAATTTTTAGAACATTTACACGATACACGGAATTTTGCAACATCGTTACAAAACGAAACGCGATCAATTATTCAAATTCATCGTGTCGTCGAACGTTCATTACGGTTTTTCGCGGCATTCGTTAACCGGTGTTAATCTTCTCGTAGCAGCGACGATGCACCGGCTCAATGGAAAGTAAGCAAACTAATTACTCAAATGTTTTTGCCTCCGCTGTATCTTGCCCGAGTTTTTATTCAAAGCGTTAAATATTCGACACAATGGATCTTGTGGACTGGACTGCGAGTGCTATCTATCTAGCAACGAAGAATTTAAAGCGATGGTTCAAACGCCCCACAGGGGGGCAATTTGAGAATGAGTTATTATAACAGTAAATTTTTTTTGCATTTCTCCAAACGAAAAAATTTATTTGTAGAAACTTTCCAATTTATTTCTTTCACGGACGATCATGTTGAAATTGAATGAATTGTTGGATGATCATGACTTTGGAAGCTTGTTTAGATCAAGTTTATAACCTTTTAGGCTTTCTCCACAAAAGTCAAAAATTCACTTTTTGAATAATAAGAATTAATTATGTGTCACAGAGGACACCAGGATTTTAGAGATGCTTAGGTGGGGCATGGCCAAAGAAAGATTGGGAATTACTGATCCAAAGCGACGATAAATCTACAGCAAACCTTAGAACAGTTTAACCTCTTGCGCTGGAATGCCGTGCCACGCGCGTCGAGAATTCTTTGTTCCAAAATTGTAATATTTTCTCAGTTTTACGTGTATTTAAGTGAAACAAGAAATAGGCAAAACAAATAATAAATTTATTACTTATTACATATTTATACTTTATTTATTATATTTAAGTAAAACAAAACAGGCAAAACAAATAATAAATTTATTACTTATTACATATTTATACTTTATTTATTATATTTGAGTAAAACAAAACAGGCAAAACAAATAATAAATTTATTACTTCTCAATAATTTCTATCCGTGATAGTGATATACCGATGAGTTCGAAAAGAAAGCGACCAATTATCGTATACGGTTCGGTCACTCGTTATGGTCCGCAATCAGCTGCCAGCGCAAGTGGTTAACATCACCCTTTTATTTCGAATACCAAAAAACAAAGAAAAACACCAGATAGAAAAGAAAAAAGTAATAGGGATTTCTAAAATGCCGAATTTGCTTTTTTAAAACGTAGGAATGGAAGGAGAAGAGTAGTGAAGGGAAAGCATGCTCGTTATAAACCCTATCCTTTCTTTTTTTTTTTTTTTTTTTTTTTTTTTTCTTTTTTTTCCCCTCGCGAATTCGTCGATCCTCTCTTCCAGTCGTAGTTTTCGATTCGAGATCTTTATTTCTTTTTTGTTTGTTTGTTTATTTGTTTGCGCACTGAATGGGAACAATATTGCGGTTAACGAGGTATATATTTATAAAAGTAACAAACACAACAGGAAACCAAAGTGAAGAAACTACTGTCGCGTTCGACAGTACGTGTACATAAGACTGTGAAACCCTTGCACGCAAGTGCACTATGTATTGTAGAACATTTCAAGTACGTATGAATAAATGTATAGCGAAATTTATTTTTATTATTTAGATTGTAGAAGAGAAGGAAGTTCGAGCGCGTTTAGACAGAAATTTCCTAATTATATTTCCATTAGTTGAATTGAACGATGAGCAAGCAAGTAACGAGAAATAACTATATATATATATATATGTATATGTATATATATATATATATAATATATATATATATATATGTATATAGGGAGAGTAAACCTAGAGTCTATATATCAAGAGAAAATACAGACATTCCTTGTTACCTTTTGATGAACGAAGAACACATCCTTGAAACGACTCAAATTTCGTAGCAGTATAATGCCGATAATTTTATTTATAACACATTTTAATTTTTATATGAGAGAGTAATACAATTTGTACAATGAGTCGAATGAATATTTATCAAGAGAATACACCACGAAAAAAAAAAAAGAATAAGCAAATAAAACACGAACGTATTTACATAATTCTTTAACTTATCCTTTTTTACCGACAAAACAGAGAACATCCTCCCCGCTGGGGAGGAGGCTCACTGCTCACCGGGGGGTGAGGAGAATACGCAGGTTGAATTTGCTCCCGAAGAGAGTTACCTCGTTGCAGATGGATCGCGCCAGCTGGATCGTTATCAACACTCGCCGCCACGAGACTGCACTTTTTCACGACGCCGTCGTTTCGTTTGTGAAAATAATGATTTGCTACTTATAGATAGGACGAAGTAACGAAATGCGCGTTGCAACTCTACAGAAAGAGAAAAGGGAAAAAAACAATACGTAACATAAATATACACGACGTTCTATATAAATATCGGAGAATCTTTCGAGTTGATTGTAAACCGGAATCAGAGTCGAGGAACGTGCAATTTTCTTCTTTCTTGAAGTTATTTGAAAAATCAAGAACGCCGAATATGAATTATCGATATGACGTAAACGGTTCGAAACGAACATGTTTCTGCGTTTTTTGAAAGCAGTCTGTAGCTCGGAGACGCCGCCGGTAGCAGAAAGGAATTTGATATCTTTATTTCAATACTCGAAAAAGATATAATACTATCAATTCTAACGAGATGAAACGTGAATAAAAACAGAGTCACTTGAACCAACTGATACTTTCGTACGTGTAAGGACGCGTTCGTCGCCAACTCTGACATCCAAACTTCGTTCCAATTACTTAACCTCTTGGTGCCACGATGGACTGACGTGCGTCGAAAGTATTTGGCCCAAAATTGCAATATTTTCTCAGTTTTTAAGTATATTTCAGTATAACCCAAGCAAAACAAGTAATAAATTTATTACTTCTCAATAATTTCTATCCTATCATATAGTCGTATCGTGCCGACGAGTTCAAAAAAGTAAAAGCGACGAATTACTGTATACTGGTTTGGTCACTCGTTATGGTCCGCGAACTAGTTAATCTTAACCTCTTGCGCGCTGGAATAACGTGCCACGCGCGTCAAGAACTTTTTGCCCCAAAAATGCAATATTTCCACCGGTTTTAAGTATATTGAAATGTGACCCAGGCGAAACAAATAATAAATTTATTGCTTCATGATAATTTCTATCCAGCGATATACCGATGAATTCAAAAAGAAGACGAGTTATCGTGTACGGTTTGATCACTCGTTATGGTCCGCGAACCAGCTACCAGCGCAAGAGATTAATTCACACAGAGCGTGCTAACTTTGACGAGACTGTTGATCTTTCGGAAATTTCACGTTTCCCACGATCTGAATAATTTCTCGGCGGAAAGCTCTGATCGAACCTTAAATCGATCGTAAACCTTACGCTTTAGCTGTCAACGAATGGAACTAGGGAACGACGGAAACGAAACGAAACGAGACGTTTCGCAGTTCCAATCTAAACGCGCAATTGCTCGGGGTTGGATAATCGTTTCACTCACTTGCACGCCGCACTCATTCTCGCACATCAGCAACAACGGTTTTCGTTCCGGGTATTTCGCGTGATACTGTCGCCGAAAATTCTCGGCGTACCAAGCGAGCAGCTTCTCCTTATCGGTGACCGTGCAGTAGCTGCTTGGAAGCGATTTCAAGTAGAGATCCCTCGCGCGGTCCACTTCCGGCCAGCACAGTTTAATCAGGCACAGCTCGCGCTGCATCTCCTCTATCTGCTCCCGAGTTATTTTCACGAAACTTTCGTGCGCCGATCGTTTCCTCGATCTGTCATCTTCCTCGTCCGGCGACGTCGATGCACTTTCGTAACTCTCGCGACTCTCGTCCCCCTTGGACATCCTGAATCTGACGAGTTTAGCGATCGAAAATTGCGAGCAAAAATGAAGCTAGTAACTTACTTAAGGGGCCGCCGTTACGGACGATTCAGTTTATCATCGGCGTTCGTTTGTATCTAAGGTCGTTACAATTTAAAATCGTTCCCCGAAGCATTGTTTATTGCCATGGTAACTTACGGGAAACGGAAGATGTTTCTCGCGTGGTCTTTATTAGTTTCTGGACCGCTCGACAGGCGGCAGCATGCTCCACGCAGCTGTAGTGATTATGATGATAATATAATACTACAATTAAATAAGAAAAACTTCGTAACTTTTGTAACTTTCAATAAATTATAATAAATGATATTTAAATAACAATAAAGCTTACAACTTTAATAGTTAACTGTTTTCTCCGAATGTTAATTAAAGAATGAATAACAAATTGTAAAATAGAGTCTATATATACATCTCTATAAATAAGTAAACATGGTAGTAACATCGCCATAGTAGTAATAAAAATAAAATAACAATTTATAAATATTCTTGTTACGAGTTTATATACAGTTGGCGATGTCGGTTTACAGAAAACATACTTTTCGGCAGAACGACTGCTTTAATGTAGATGGCATTGATTTCAATTTTGTAGAGGTATCGGTCGCTACACAGCGTTTCGTCCACGTGTTCGACCACGAGACAAAGATGAATAACTGCAGTTTACGTATTTCTAAAAATTTCGTTTACTGTTTGTCAAATTACTGTTGGAACGTACACGCGTGAAATATCATTGAACATTGTTCAATTGCAAAAACGATATATCGTCTTTCTATAACGTAGTTCTTCTCTGTGGCACGAAAGGGGACCATTTAGAAGAATTTGTAGGAACTTGCAGTGGGTAAGGCAAGTTCGCGTACAAAATATACGTAATTCTTTCACAGTTTATAACTAGTCTTTGGTTTATTCTCAGAAATGTGCACTTACAAATTTTGCACAGAATGGTTCTTACCAGTAATAGCGAAGAAAGTAATGAACGTAGTAGTGAGAGTAATGGTAGTTACAGTAGTGGGCCTTTTCCCTCTTCGCAACCAGGTTTTATACCCTTGGCTTGCAAAGAGGGGAAAAAAAAGAGGGGGAAAACTCTTTTCCCGCGTTTTTTATTTATTTTACAAAAAAGATGTCGCTGTCTGTTCTATTGAAAACTCACTTTGTGACGGAAGGTTTTAGCGAATGTAAGTGGCGCTGTTTCAAATTGCGCGGAGGTAGCGATCGCTACAGATTCCTCGTTGCGACATCTGCAAGAAAAATCGAAGTTGGTATATAAAATGATTAAAAATTTAGTTTGTTAAAAATTGTTTTCACTATAGTTTTTTGAAGCACAAATCATTTGTACCTAATAGCGTGTATTAGTAACTTCAGAATTTTGACTCACTGTGACGCAAAACCTGCCGAAGTCGGTACGACAGGATGTGACACGAAAATGGTAGGAGGGTTCTTATCCTAGGACAAAAAAATACAAACATTGTATGTTTTATAAAAACTAACAATGGATATTTTATTTTTTTTTTTTTTAATAACAGAAACTGTGTTTTATAAAAACTAACAATGGATATTTTGTTTTTTTTTTTTTTAATAACAGAAACTGTGTAACTTTTTCGACCTCCACCGAGTTTGATTTCTAGTTTTAATGATAAAACGAACTGCCTGTTAATGAAATAACTAAATAGCCGTTAAATTAGAAATTTATCAATGGGAGTTTGTGCCTTGGACTACTTCGAAGTAGTATCTGTCTTGACGTCTATTCATTTGTCGAATCTTGAGAAAAAAGGTATGTATCAAAGACCGATTTACATTTTTTTATTTTCCAGTTTTTGTCTCTATCAGACACATACGTATGTTTTACGAAATACTGATTACGGAATTGTTCTTTCGTCTAAAATAAAAAAATAAAAAAATAAAAATAGAAAAGGTTTTGAAGCTTTCGTTTTTTGAACTCGCGTGAACAGTTGCCAATATAGTGATTATGATAATTTATATTTATATCACAATACTACAAATAAATAATAACTCCGTAATTAATTTTAGTTGTTTATATAAAAATATTATTAATATCACAAAATATACAATTACTAATCATTTAATGAAGATTATATAATAAAAGTTAAATAATGAATAATTTCTATAAATGAAAATTAAATAACGAAATAACGAATGAAGAATTTCTACTATGGCTACAATATATATGTGTCAGTAAACATTTCTATGGTGATAATAAAATTAATAGCTATTTTTAAATATTCTATTGTTTAAATACACATCTCGACGGAACATAGATGTCGTTGATCTAAATTCTTCGAAGTAGAAGTCGCTACACGTAACAGATGTGTGCTGCCATCTATCGAGCTCTGCCCAAATCCCTTATTTCTATGTGAAGAAATCTTACTTATCAACTTATGCAATTTTGCATCCGATAGATGGCGGTATCGATTAATTTCACCGCTATACGGCGCTAGTATTTGAATGTCCATAAAACGAAATAATTTTTATTTACGAAAAGAAGATTAATTTATGAACTTGTATGATTTTGTCTTCTAAATAAGACTCTAAGCTCTCTTCTAACGTTTCAGTTGACCTATAAATGCGAGATTTTTAAATTTTGTTCTATCGATGCACTTGTCCTCGTGGTATTTAACTTTTCTGCAAATTAAAAAAATTCTAAATTTTCAATTACCAAAATTCTAATATCGATTTTTCATTCTGAAATTAGTATCGTATTTGCTGTTAATTCCGAATTAGCCGTGCACGTTTAGAATTCATATATTCTAATAAATGCAAATTATGCAAAAAGTGGCATGCAATAATAAGCGTCAGAATTTTATTAATAAAAATGTTCACATACATATCATTGGTATAAAACATACGCGTTATTAGAACAAAAATACGTACAAGCTATGAAGACGATGTTCACGATGGTATATAGACTTTATTTATAAACTATAAATATAAGAAATCGGATCGATCTTTCTGTAATATGTAGCAAGACCAATGAAACTGAAACATGCAACATACACAAATATGTTATATCATTCGAGAGTGACGTTGCGTCTTTTCACAAAATTTATGCGATTTACGCGGTTAAATCTAGAAAGGTTATTTTTCGTAACGTTAATGCATTACGTTACGACGTCAGCGAATCAATTTACTTTCACTTCGTGTTTCATTCCGGTAAAATAAGTTCAACCATATTTCCCCCCCCCCCTCCCCCCTTATCGTAATATTATTTGCAAATTCGCGTCATGGATTCTCATTTTATTACACGAAGGTCGATCCAGAACACCGAACCGGACCGTGGGCTCACAGAGCAGCAATTTCAATTCACGTCATTCGAGTCTTGCCGCCACTTCTGAGCTGCCTCTCGTCTGGCATCCGGTACTAACTGCGATTGCATACCACCTAAAACATTGCTAGTCGCTTCTGTAGCCAAAATAATTGGCTTCACGACTGTCGGTGGTATTTGTCGTAACACACCCCCTACAGCACCAGAGACTCCTTTTTGTTCATGCTCCTCACTGGCTACGCGAACCAATTGATTCGCCGTTTCTCCCAAACCCTGAGACATATAACATTTAAAGTTAGCAATCTTAACACTCCAATGTACAACGCATTTGGTAATTTACCTCTTTTACTAGCATGTACGCGTTAGCCACTCCTTCTCGAATGTCCAATGGTTGATTATACCTTTTCCGGCGTCCTTTCTGTCCCTTGTGCTTACGCCTCACGCTTGGGCCAGGACTGACCATGTCATAAGCCGTCTCAGCTGTACTCTGTATAGCGTGTATCAACCTAGAAGTCAATTCCAACGCCGCCATAGCGGTGGACGTCGTGAAACTGTTCGCACCTCGTTGTAATCCCCTGATTATCCTACCATCCTTTTGGTACTGCTCGATAGGCAACCAGAACAAATCCCTTATCCCTTGAACTGTAGCAGCAAACGTTTATATTTACACGCGTGAATTTTATATCCGTATAGATATAGAGAGAAACAAGAACGCACAGACTTACATAATTGTACTAACGAATGCATGGGACCGACACCGCCAAGTAAACTTGGAAGTTGATTTTTCTTTATGTCTTGCAACCACTCGGAGAATAAAAACGTTATTAATTTATCGAAGCCTAGAAGCCCGTGTCGATGCGTTAGTCTTTTCAGTCTTAATTCGGAACAATTCAACTGCGCCAGGCCCATTAGAAGTCCTGCCAACGGTCCGTGAGTAAGGTCCACGCGCTTTCCGTGATAGTCTAATCTAACGAAAACCTCAGGGGAAAATATCACGCTCCTAACACAATCAAACAAAACAAATTTTGAACATCATACATCAATGTACGTCAAAAAGAGTATATACATATAATTGCTCAACTCTGTCGATATTACCTGAAATATATCGGTTGACAATCATCGTGAACTTCGTGCGTCGGCTTCACTTTCACATTGTTCTCCTTGATCATTAATTCATCCTCCAAAAGTAGCAATAAATTCGGATCTATGCTGTCGCTTGGCGACGTATTCGTTGACGTTGGAGCATTAGGCGCTGAATCGTTTACACTCATAACCGGTGGGTGATGCGTCGGTGTACCTTGTTTCGACACCGAGGAGGACTGCGTGCTATTAGACGCGCTGAAACTCTCTTGAGCTTGCTTCGAACCGCTACCCAATTCGTTGAAGAATTCTATCAAAAACAATAGGCTATCCTGATCGATATTTAATCGCAACGGCAGTAGGCTGAGCTTTAAACAACACTCTTGAGCACTTAATCTTGGATCCGGCCTGACGTGGACCGCTTTCATGGCAAACATGTTCGCATGAGACTGTTTCGGTCTTGCCTCGCTGCTATATTGGTACAGGAACTTGTTGATGTGGGAGGATGCCAATCTGTCTCTGATCTCTATCTCGTTTACCAGCAATATTTGCCTCGCTGCTTCCGCTGTATTCTCTGGATAAACCTCGTGTTGAAAGCGCACTTTGTTCAATTGAAGTTCCATTAAGATGTCATGGCGGCGACCAGGACCTCCCATTGTTTGCCAGTCGGTTGTTTCTTTGCACTTCGCACGTGGTGAATTTGGCGCACTCCCGAAATGTATTTCGTTCGGGCTACATTTATTGAAACCCACGCCATCCCACCACGGTGATCTGGTTCTACAAGCATAAATGACTATGTATCATTCGCGTAAACATTTGACGACTGGGATACATACCTAGCTCGAGGTGCCGTATTAGGGCGAATCACGTTGTCATTGACAATGACCTGTTTCTTGGTCGATGATTGAGAAACTTCGAAATCCTTTCCACCGTACATGTGCCAGATCAAGCTCATTTCGCAAAGAGTGTATCTTAAAACCGGAGGTGGGAAATGTCTTGGCGCCTTAAGCAGATCAGTTTTGCCGAGTGGGATCGCGAAGTGATTGTCTATTATTCTCAAAGATTCCTGGCAAAGCCAACGAACTTCTGGTACACCATGTCTGGGCATAATTCCTGTACCAGCTTCCTCTCCTAATATACAAAACTCATCGTTCAAATCTTCAGTTTCTATGCCAAATTCGACTTTGTTATATTTCTCGGGACTTCCGCACATTTGTAAAATAGGTTGAGATTCGTCAGGGAAGAAAAATACCTCCACCTGATTTTCAGTTACAGATATGTCGCTGTCTGTATTCACCGATGTTTCTGTAACATAATTGTTACCGAATAATAAGTATCCAATACGTTTCCCCTTATACAACTTAATAATTACCTTTTACCGTTTCTTCCATCGCTTCTTTCATCAAACTATTAACGCGTTCAACTTGGCTCTTACTCAGAGTGTTAATACACTCGTCCCCTAGAAGGCTTTCTTCTTCGCTAGTACTAGCTATCGTAGTAGTTTCGACGGTTTCCATATTCGGCAAAAGATCTCCGTCATTGACAAAGTACGTTAACAACTGGATAAGAGCTCGTCCAGAATCTGAACAAGTACGAACGTGCAACACGTTGTTGCTTGCTCTTAAATCTACCCTAGGTGCACCGCCGCACATCTTCTCGTTTAGCCTCAGTGACAATTCGAACAATCCTACGTCCATTACGCACACATAATCTCGCCGAAGATCCACGTTTCTCCCTAATTTATTAGATATGAACAAGGCAATATCTTCTGCTATAAAACGCAATGTTGAAGTATTTGTATGCGCAGCGATATTGCTGGAAACACTGAAATTGCCAAGTGTTATCATTGATCTTAACGGCAGATGAACTGGCCTGAAATCATATACATTTCTTGTTACATTGCTATGCTCAGCTAAAAAACGCCATGTTTAAGTAAATGAGAATAAGAACCTGTAATCAACCGCGCAATTCCACAAGTGCAAATGTAATTCCGTTAATATCCCTGGCGGTGAGTATCCGGCAACAGGATGATCGGCTACGTCCAAGCAATCTGTTAACTGCGTGAACCACGATGTACCAGTGTTGCACATTCTATGCCTTAGTGTAGCATTTGTTATGCCTACTGCCACTCTGAAAGTCTATCTCAAAATAATCTATGATTATTCAATCGATTAATATAAATAATCATTTCATTGAAAATTGAACAAAAATAGAACGAACTTTGATACGGTGGGTTTGATGAGCAGCCTGTATCCTAATAGCGAGTACCACCATATCATCGTTGTTGTTTGCTCCCATTACATTCTCGGTTAACCCGCTTTTATATATAATGTTTTGACAATGTTGCGGAATGTCGCTATTAATAAGTCTCAGTGTAGGTGGTTGGAAAGGAGTCGTCATTAATCCACAATGATCCAAAGACATTTCTTTTATCATGGCACAAACGTAACCCAGATTCGAATTTCCTTTGTACGCGGTTACCGAAAATATCGTCGCGTCTTCCAATCGAATTATTAGCTCGCCCTGTTGACCGGGGATGACGTTGCGCATCGAATCGCGAACAGGAGTATACATGCAGAGGAGACCTTGATCTATATTCAAAATTAGTGCTAGATTACTCTGACCGTTCTTTGATATCTTGTTCTGATGCTGCTTGTAACTTTTATCGGCCGCAGAATGAAATATACCGCCCTCATCGGAGTCCGAATCGGAATCGTACTGTATTCTACTTTTGCACGTGCTAAATCTTGAAACAGAAAATCGTACATCCTTTTAATCGATATATACAAAAAATTATATCATCTGCTTTCAATATTGATTACCTAGGATAAACGGATTCTTGTAACAAAGTGGATGCCAAATCGAGACCTATGTGATTTTCCATGTGCGTACCGTACTTCGGTCTTGGTGCTGACGGTTTCCATAAAAAAAGATCAGTGTTGAATCTATTGTATAGCAATTCGTACAGATGTTTAGATGGTATTTGGACGGAAACACACGGGAAGTTAATCTCCAATTGTATTCTGGAGCTACGAGTGCCTTCGTCCATGAACTCGAACATTTCTTCCCGATTTCCTGGTATGATCAACTCCTCGCCCTCTCTGTTACATTCACAAAGTTAAGTACTTTTTGATAAATTAAAATCGATATTATCGGACACGAACCTTTGTTCTGAATCATCCTTATCGCCTTGCGTAGGAGGTTTGGAATGAGGCGTATCAGATTCATGAATAACACGCTTTGAGCTGAACGGAGACGGCTGATGTTTAGGCGTATTTTCTAGAGTTTCGTCGAAACTAGAATCTAGCTCTCCTTCAGAGCTATCTTCCAGCTGGTCGCTCAAACGTTCCGGATAGATTGTAATAACTATTCTAGCCCAATCAAATCCTTCGTTGACTTGCTGACACGACGCATTATTTTTTTCATGCGTTGTAACTCTGCCTATATTCAATGGTACGTCTGTCTCCGTTTCCGCATACGAAAGCAGCAACTTACTGAATTGGATTTCGAAATGCTTCTTCACAGAATGCGGCCGATTCTTTGAAAAAATCGAATGCGGCCGAGAATGAATTTGTGCATCTGCCATTTTTAAGATCATATAATCCGTTCTCACCGATCTCTTCCACCATGGTGCCCGATTCATATCGTGCAAGGGTCTTAAATCTGGTATTGGAAACCTGTTTTTAAATGATTGATCATGAAATATTTTATGTTTTCAATGTATATTTCGTATGTGTATATGTATGTGAATTACCTTAATTTTATTGTACAGTGTGACGAAGATATGTTTATGATAGCAGCAAAGTCAGACAATATAGGACTCTCTATGGCTTGATAAAATAAAGTTTGTTGATTCTAAAAATTACAAACGAATGATGAAAAGCTGTATAGTTTAATACATTATTGTAATAATAAAACCTATCAGCTTACCGTATTCTTATTATTAGACACAGGATTACAAACGCAAATAGGTTGTGGATTAAGTAAAGCACATATCCTATCTATAATAGTTATGTCCACTTCACTCTTGCATGGTTCCAATTCAATACTGAAAAAAAAGCACGACAAAATTAATTTTAAATCAATACACTTCAAATGTACATATACTTACTCAACTGTTGTGTACGGATCTGTACATTTTACTAATTGAGCATATCCTGCATTTTCAACATCCTCTACATATTTAAATTTCATTTTAAAGTCCGTTTTATTGGTGAAACCAGTATTACTTGAACTCTCTTTCGGAAAAACAAGCAACTCTACAAACTCAGTTAGTGGAGTTGTATTTGCTCCAGAATTATTCGAATCAATTAAACATTCTACAATTTCTAAACTAGCTAAGGTTAATGTTCCAGATATTACAGAAAACCATGAAACATTTTTTTCTCTTCCTTCAATTACTAGCGGCGCAGCGAGTAATCTATAATAATAAGCAATAAAGAATTAATTCAAATTTTCACATTACGTTCTATCACACATTACGTTCTATCTACATGCCTAATATGACTTAAATGGCAAGCATCCAAGAGTACTTTCGATGCCTTATCAAAGTCTTTGTTTCCATATCCTCCAGCTCCGAACATTCCTAATTGCTTGAAAAATTCATCCGCTGAATTTTTCATCTGACGTATACTAGAACATGTTAAACCACCTCCTTCTACGCACGTGGCCAATATATCTTCGTGTAGTAGGACTATAGCTATGGAAGATACCCTCACATGAAAATGAGACGTTTCTGCGGATGGACTATTATCCACATTGTGCCTGTGTTTCTGTTGCTTTGGTAAATTTGTCGCTGAATTCTTTAAACTAATACTACTAGATAATATACTCCCATCCATGCTAATGTTATTGCTTGTGATCGAATCACTCATTGATGTAGAACCAGGTAATCGCATCGGCAAAAACTCCTCTTTGTTGTCTGACTCGTCTAAAGATGCCGTCGACCAACCCTGTGCATGCCTTAAATCCTGTAAGAAAATTTTTTCAAATTTAATATTGGCTTTTCAAATTTTTAAAAGTTGCGGTTTTTATTATCATTTTTTATTGTATATACCATAGAACGTAATCCTTGTGTCGGATATATTTGATGAATAAGTTCTCGCTCAACGCGACTGAAGTCGCTGCCAACCATAGGCTTTTCCATGCAAGTTCTCGGCGCGACATTGCTAATATCTTCTAAATCTGGGGATGCAAGTCCGTGGCCCAATTCCAATAACACATGCACTTGCCGTGGACTTAAAAATGAAGTAAATGATCCCAGTGTCACTTCAAATTCTACCTGAAATAATTAGTTCGTACCTTTTATTTCATATTAAATACGAAACTTAAATTTAAAGATGTTATTTTCTTCATATTCAATAATTAACAATTAACAATTAACTTTTACCTTTGGCCCTGAAACACTTTCACCTTGCTTTAATTTCAATCTTATTTCTTGTCTGCCTGCTAACTTGGCAAACATTATAGGATTTGATTCGTTTAAACTATTAATAATATTCCCTTCCGGAGAAGTTTGCACATTTGCATATTGAGTGGGAGATATTTGTGCAGAAGAGAAGTGGCCGTCTGAATTCTATAAAGAAGAACCTCCTCAAAAAATTATCAGTCACATATTTCTCTTACTAAACCTAATGCCAAAAAAAATGTTACTTTAGAATCTGGTGTAGATCCTCTGCTTATTGTTATGATGCTCCTAGAAAAAGTTCTTGCTCGAGATGGAAACTCATCCGTGTGGAAAGTGACACCTTCTAAATAAAATCTTTTCGTTGTGAAAGCTGATACGATATATCCTTTTGTTGACTGACTAGGGTCTAATGAAGCACTGCTTGGATCTAAGCCTGCTTCATCTGAATATTCAAGATTTTTTATACACATTTCAATTGCAACTCCTGTAGAAGAGTCTAGTGGCACATGTTCCAAACGTATTACGGTATCAATGAATCTTACTTTTACTCTGCATAAAACTGAAATCCACAAAACTTACAATAATATACATGCTGACACTACATTTCCTATCAATACATTTCTGAACAACTATTTATAAAATCTTACTTGAATCTATTGTTTGTGCAAACAATTCGACTCCTTCTAATGGCTGAGAGTTGCCAGCATTTTTTGCATCTTCTTGCAAACATTCTTGTGCAAGTTGCATACTCGATGTCATAGAGCTCCACATAGACTCAAACATTGAAGTGCCAGTTTTCGTTCTTTGTCTAGGTTGAACGGTCAGTTTCAAACCCTTAACCTCCACATAGCTAGCCTCGCTAAGTAAAGCTGACCACGGTATGCTAAAAGATATTTCCACTACGAAGCCATCGACAAATTCCAAAGGAAGTTGTTGCTGCTCTCCCAATTCGTTGAGGGCCTGTTGCATAAAAATTCAGAAAAAGCATGCGTACAGAAGCATTTTTATTCTTTGAGAAAGTTATCATAGACAAAGGAATGGCTTTGTCTTATCTTTGTTTCTCTCAGCCAAAGGCTTAGGAACAAAGAAAATGGGAGTACCTGCACATCAAGGCTGACATTGGTTACACGACCAGTTCCGTTGTACAGATCCACAGTGAGCTGGTCCAATGTTAATTTCTCCTCCAAAAATTGACCCAGATATCGTTGTAGAAGATACCTGCACGCTCGCTTTTTGATCCCTTGCGACCAGGGAATGCATCCTAACCAAGACATTTCGTATCCACGCTTGACCAAAGCTAATCTATGAAATCTACATGGGATTTTCAAAAAGTGACTCTCGTCATGCGCCTTGTTATTCGGGCACGGTGTACGGATAACAATTTATCCACGTGAATTCCATCTTTCCAACACGTGTCCACTCTGGCGCAATGATCCTTAACATAATACGACAATTCGGGTGTAACGGGGTTCTCTAAGCTGCGTAATATTTTCCTTTTTGGATACGAGTGCACATGCATACACATACGCGCGCGCGCGCGCAAATAGAATCTCGACTGTCGGGCAAACACTGCACGAAACGAAACACTGGTGTCTCATTGACTGAAATCAGCTGACTATAAGAGAGAGATGAGCTGACGCTCACATGTGCCCCCCAAACGTTCTCACGTCTCTCCCACACAGGTGGATTTCGATCGTTCGATACTTTTGTTCCTAGATTTTACGCAAAAACATTACACACACGTTCGTGCGTATCTCGCGTTTGAACAATACGTGTTCTATGTGTTTAATAATGCGAGAGTTGCCTTTATTTTTACTACAAAGTCGTGCGTGCAAACGAAACGAAATGTCATATCCTGTGCTTTTCGGAACGTTCGTTTGCGAAACGATTTTTCCCTTTTGCTATATGTTTGAATAATACTTTTTTTTATTAATTTCGAAAAGATATGGAATTATTCGAGTTTACACTTACGCTTTTGTCACAACGTTATTTACACTTTTGTTGTAACATCAGATTTATGTATCAGAACGGATGTTTGAAATCCATGTTAGAACGGATATTAGCGTTAGAACGGATGTTTGAAATGTACGTGTGTGAGTGAAAATACAATGTTTTGGATCCTTCAGAATATTAAATATCACAAAGTGGATACTTACGTTCTAAAAAAGGATCGAAAAATGAACAATCGGCTATATTCTTTTCTTTCTTTTTTTTTTTTTTTCTTAACGCATATGCAAATTTCTTTGTAAGTCGAAATACATTAACCCTTTCGTTTAACAATTAAAATTAAGTTGTCTTTACAAAGTTAGTAAAAGTATATTAATATACTTAATATATATTTATATTAATATACTTATAAATAAGTATATTAATTATAAATAGATTAAAATATATATTATATTATAATTATAAGTTCCTTTTCGTTAACAATTAAAATTATTTGTTACATTCTTCTTTACACCTCGCAAATAGAGGTATTCAAACAAAATAATTCTTCTGCCTTAAATATTGTTTAAAAGTATCGAGATTTTTTAATAACCGACACAGATCGACGTGAAATATTTCTGAAAAGTTTACTAGCCTGAACGTGTCTATATTCACTGTAATTTCCGTATGTAGTTTATGAATAAGTTCAGGTGTGTGTTAATCGAACGATCTGTCATTAAGATTGTCCGATAATTCATTGGAAATTGACGTACTTTTTGTTTTACAGATATACTTGCAAAACGGAGATTCTGCTTTGCCACTTGAAATATGGCTCTAACCAACATCTTGCTCCTTAGTCAAATATCGGGATATGTCGTTGCTCTTATTTTGTCACTTTGTATCATCATACCGATGAGTTTGCACGAAGATGAATTTAGGTAGCTGGCATTTCAAAAGTGGCCGAATCACATTATAATAAATAACATTAGAATGTACACGTATGTACAGATATGTTACGCATTGTTTAATATATATTTGTTTACAGAGGACACTGTTTGTTATTCTCAACAGGGACTTGGCAAGAATCAAACGGTCAGTTTGTAGTAAATTGGGCTTCGCAGGCTTACTGCAATTACACGATATTCGTTGGCTTGATGTTGTTGCTAACATCTGCGATACAAATTTATCGTCTCTCTATACTTATGTACCGCGGAGAGGACAGCTCTTTCTTGTCGGCGTTTATAGATGTTGTCAGTTCGATATTCCTTACGACAATCACCCTAATCGCCGCAGTTATTATCACACTTGGCTTTATGACCTGGTGTCAATGTATGACCAAAAGATTTCCATCTTGCGAATTGGCAGCTGGAAATGACATTGATAAAGCTGATGATATAGATACTTCTGGTTTTCACATTGAATTGGGTGCAGTTCAATTTGGTACTTGGTTCAGTTTGTCTGTGTGGGTTGGTCTGTCAGTATTTGCAGTATTAAAGTTGTTGCGATATCATCAGTTAGAAAACATGAAGGTTTCAATGTACAGAGAAAGACAAAGATTAATAGAAGCTGCTAGAAGTAATGAGATACAAGAGACAACTTAAAAATTTGATTCGATGGAAAATTTGATCGTTGAGAGTATTTCTTTAAGTGGTAGTATTTTTTTCTATCCTATTGTTCTTACTCTTCAAAGAAATATTTGTAACTGATAAAGTCAGTTTCCTAAACGCACACTTTGTAATGAATGTAATTATGATCATATAATGTAACTTAAGATGATTATTTGATCCATTACGAGATTGAAAAGCCATATTTATAGAAGAGGTCATAACATTGAAATGATTATGCTTTATGCTGAAAATATATAATTTATTATTAGCCAGATTTTTATCTTTATACAAGACAGTACGAAATTACAATTTTTGATAACTTTGATATTAGTTTTTAGATTCATCTTTAATTTAGTTGATATCATTCGACTTAAGTAGTATTAACAATTGTTAAATATATTATTATATTTCATCATAGTATTTTATTTCATTCTTATGTATCATATTTCTGTCTAATTGTATATACAATTTATGTAAATAGAGTATAAATTACATAACAGTCATCATTAAAATATAAAAATATATTGCATAAATATTTAATGTGCAATTGATGGTCTTTATAAGTATGTAGTTATACCTTGTCAGTGTATATAAACGAGGAGTTCCGTATTATCTAAATAAGTATATTTAAGTATATTAAGAATTATATTTTGTAAATATGAATGTTATATATTCTCATAATACATCAGACTTATAGCATAATATACTGAAATTTATTATATGAAAGAAGCCAAACAAATAAATACTTTTTCATATTAAAAGCAAAAATTTCAGGTGAAAACTTTATTAGTGCGAGATGAAAAATTTGCAATTGTTTTGCATACTCCAAGAGAATTCCTACGGCTTCCTACAGGACATTTCTTTGGAGGTGGATCGATAATTACGAATGTTGCAACATCTGTTGATATACATTCTAAATCAAATGTAGTTTCATTTACTCCGATTACACCATCAGGTGCACAAGGGCCACCTGTAGTTCTTAAAGGATAACATATATTATTATATTGCACTAAGCCATCCTCCAAACAAGGATTTTTTACACATTTTGGTATAGCTTCATTCTTAGGAAGCACAACATAATTCTGTGGTGGACATGGTCCTTGTCTGTATGCTTCATGACAACTATTATTCAATGGAAAATATAGAAATCTGGGTCTACAATCACATACCCATGTACTTCTATTTCCATCTCCAGGATAAAGAAGCATGTCTTTAGGACATATATTTGGTGCAGCCACTGGAATACGTTCTGTTATCTAAAACAAAACATTTTCTCACACTATGTCACTAATGTTCTTCCTTGTCGCTCTTGAATGTATGTAATTACCGCTGTGTTGCCGCTCACATGAGACATCTCTTCATCATTTGGAAATACAATATCCTGACAAAATATTATACAAATCCATGTTACTAATGTGATATTAAAAATTATCCACTTCATTTTATTGTATCTATGACATAAATAAAATCTTTTTCACAAAAAATGGGAATGAATATTTGATATTTTTGAAAGTAACAGATTATTTGTGATGTTTTTTTCTGATGTTAACATAAATATAATCAAATATACCTTAATTATGGAAAATATTAATTAAAGATGTTAACACTTTGTAATATATTATATTCTTTTGAGAGTGATCTGAAGTGATGCTGAAGTGATTTCAAGGTCAAGTATAGCTAAATACAACAAAAGAATTAAAATCAATGGCCAATCAACATTAAGCATTTGCTGATAATTCAAGTTTTTCTCCCACTACTTTTCAATGTACAATTTTTGTCCTTAGACGCATTTATATCTAATACAAAAAGTACAGTGGATAAACTTTAAATATAAAAATCATTAACTCAAAACATTTCTGGTATATTTTATGTTTATTAAATATCACATTCATAACTGGTTAACTTCATTCTCCTGCATATTAACGTGTGGATCATATATTTTCCTAATTATATTAGCACTTGGTAAGAAAGCACTTTCTTTAAATCCTGGCCAAGATTTAAGTTCCATATAAATATCAATAATTTGATTAGTATTTAATTCTCCAAATTCAGTAAATATATTATAATTTTTTTCTATTAATCTCATACCAAAACCTGGTATTATTTTCCTGAAATATTTGCATTAAAAACACATTTACATATTATTAATTTATATAAAATTCTGAATAGATGCAACTTTTAAACAAGTACTCACTCTAATGACGGTATTAGCCTCAATGTTGGCCTATGGTAATATTGTCGAATAAAATGCCAAAAATATATTACACCTTCCTTTTCACCAAATAATGATAAAAGATTAGGCTTTGGTTCTAATTTTACAACATAAAAGAATTGATTCTCTGTAATGTTTGATTTTTTAATATTTTGCCATGGCAGAAATCCTTTTCTATCTAATGTACCAAACACTGTATAATTAAACAATGTTCTAAACATAATGTGTGTAATTAAACCTTTTTTACTATGATGCATCAATTTCTAAAAATACAATAAATTGCTGTTATTTAAGATCTTTTTGAACCTAAAAATCTAAAATGTACAATTAACTACTAACATTCCATATAGTTGGTGATAATGCAAGATAAAAAATTGCTCTTCCATGCATCATAAAGCCTGTTTGAAATATTACACTCAGTATTAAATGTCTTATAAATGAAAACCTAATTACAATTCCAATTATTTGCATACAACTTTTCTCTTCCCAGTTCCTTTTTGGTACATTAGTAAACAATTCACATATATATTTATTAGGATTATTAAACACGTGAGATGTTGCTTTTAAATTCAACATTCTAGATATATTCTGAAGATCTGTATCACTTATGCTAAAACGATCAGGAAAAATCTTTTCCAATCTTTGTAGTTCAAGATAAAATTCAGTACGGCATTCGTAAAGATGTATAAATGGCACATTAGCTTCTAACAACTTTCTTGTCAATAAACCATAGCCAGGATTTAATTCAATTATATAAGACATATTTTCCAACAAATCATCTTTAATGAGTGCAGCAAACTCATTGCTTATTTCATTGTTTATTAAATATGGATTGATATGTTTTAGATTTAATGACGTATAATCTTTTATAATCTTTTTTCTAAATGTTGGATTGATATTTTCTAAATATTTGGAAAGCGCAGGAGAAATTTTATTCTTGTTAATTTTTTTTACACCTAAATGTTTGATATTACGTATGGACTCTGGTAAATGCATGATACTTGAACACCAAAGATCCCTTTTCGTGAAAGAAACAATTACATTGTTATGCAGTTTACTACTTCGTAATATACACGAAATCGATAATGTGATTAATTTATGGCATAACATTATTTTTACTACTTTGTGCAGTAATAATTGTTATATTATAAAAAGTTACTTTGAGGTTATGCTCGTACATTACAAATGATACATGAAATAAACATAAAGTAAATTGACATATAAAATAAACTTCACTTTATCACAAATTTTATTTGCAACTACTTATTTATAAAACTGTTATTATTTCTTTTTTCTGCTGTAATTGAATATTTGTTAATGTTTAAATTTGTATATACATAAAGCGTACGTTGAATGCGAAATCAGTAACTTTGATACGAAAAATAATACTAATAAAATAATATTAATAATTTGCAACATCTTTGTAATTTCCTTAAAGAAAAATTCATCGACTCGAGAAATTCTACAAATTTCATTCTATGAAATTTATCGTGATAGGATATTTACACATTGTCATTCCACGTATAGTTATTTCTGATTTGTTATGACCTTGTATATTGACTTTTTGCTTGAATTGATATCAAGAACTTGTAAGTTCTAATCTCCTTTCTATATTTATTTTTTTCAGGAATAAATTATTTTTCATCATTTATATTTTTTTTCGTATAATTTAAAATAATGTTATTAACAATTATATTAATTAGCATTAATTTACCAATAGACTCAGCCATGAAACAAAAGAAATTTAATAAGTGATTCCAATATTACAGTGCAATTCATGCATTTAAATCCCCCCTTTTATTTGAAATAAGTAGTTTTCAAAGTCTCTATTTGATCATTTTCACTCATGATCATCAAACACACACATAATGTACATAGATTTAAAATTTTTGATAAAAATTATAATTTGACAAAATATTGCAATATTTATATATGAATAAAAAAAATTTCTTTTTATGTCTCATTTCATATGTTACAATTTGTATTTTTTTCATTGTGTAAAACAATAATGTATAAAGAATTTTGTTATTTAATTTACTGGTAATACTATGTCACAGAATTAGTATGTATCTTTGTTTTTAATATATGTATCAATATAACCTTGAAAAGTAACACTACTTTCTAAGTTTTTTATCATATTTTTTTGCAGTTTGTTGATCTAGGTTTTTTTACACAATTATGTATAGAACATATTTGAAGCATTGCCAGTAAAAGATTCATTATTTCTTGTTAAGAAGAACAAAGTGATTACTTGTCAATATTAAGAAAAACAATTATAAAATGGCACAAAGTGCTTCTTTATTAACTCGAATAGTGGCCTCTTCTGTAACTGCTACAGTAAGAGCAGGTAAAATTATACGAGATATTATGGCTTATGGAAATCTACATATAATAGAGAAAGGCAACAATGATTTACAAACTGAAGCTGATCGTTGTGCTCAAATGTGTATTATTGCTTCATTAAGCCAACAATTTCCAAACGTTACCATTATTGGTGAAGAAGGACCATTAAACTATGAAATACCATCTGATTGGATTGTGACAGATGCAGATCAAGAAGTATTAGAATTACAGTTACCAACTCGCCTGATAAATATTGATCCTAAAGATGTGTGCATTTGGGTAGACCCATTAGATGGTATATATATATATTATTTATGTGAATTATATGAATTATACAAACATAGTTTGCTTGTTAAATATAGTATTAATATTTTTAGGAACATCAGAGTATGCAAAAGGCCTTGTAGAACATGTTACAGTATTGGTAGGAGTGGCAATTGGACATAGGGCAATTGGAGGTGTAATTCATCAGCCATATTACAGAAATATAGAGAATGGAACACTGGGACGTACTCTTTGGGGTATTAATGGCGTAGGGTTTGGTGGATTTGCACTAATTCCTCCAATGGCTGAAAGAAGAATAATTACAACTACATGGTATGATTGGATTTTAAAATAGCTAAAATTATTTTAAATAGAAAATCAAAGACGTATTGTATTCTTTTAGTTCACATTCTGATAGCAATGTTGAAGCAGCTATAAATGCTTTATGTCCTGATGAAGTGATACGAGTTGGTGGTGCAGGATATAAGGTATAATCAATATAATTAAGAGTTTTTGTGATCTAATTATTTTATAAATGACTTCAATATTACTGTCTTTGACAGGTAATACTTTTATTGGAAGGAAGGGCTCATGCTTATGTATTTGCTAGCAAAGGTTCCAAAAAATGGGATACTTGCGCTCCTGAGGCTGTTCTTTACGCAGTTGGTGGCAAATTAACCGATTTTTACGGACAGCGGTATTCTTATAATGCAGAAACAACATATTCGAATGAAAGAGGTGTATTAGCTACTGGTCCTGTTCGTAGTCATCAATGGTATTTAGATCACATACCATACGAAATAAAGCAAAAGTTTCAAGAGTAATGTATATAACTTTATAGAAAATGTTTTCTTATATATTTAAATATGATATCAATAATATGACTAGAGTAGAGAAAATTTTCAGCTTTTCTTTTGCATTTCGAATTTTTTATAATTTACTAAGAAGTTAATTAAAAATATAATTTATAAAAAATATGTTCTAATAAAAGTTCACAAATGCTGTTTCATAAAATATTTATACTTATAATCTTCTTTAGAATGAATGTAAATGAAAAGAAAGATAGATTCCAATTAGTAATGCTACATCTTTCTTGTTAATTTTTCATAATTTTGATTTAAGTGTGTCGCGTAATACACGGCGTAGAATTTTTCCCGATGCGGTCCGTGGAATATTTTCAACAAATTTAACACCACCTCGAAGTTGTTTATGCCTTGATACGCGTTCTGAAATATATCATTTATTAATTCGATGTATACAAGTTAATTAAATAATTAATGGATTAACTAAAGAATTTACCATTTACAAATTTAATAACATCTTCTGCCATTACATTAGATCCTTCTTGCTTAACAACAAAAGCAACTGGTAGCTCTCCTGCTTCTTCATGTGGTAGTCCAATAACCGCTGCATCTTTAATTTCAGGGCAAGTTAATAATATAGCTTCTAATTCAGCTGGTGGGACTTGAAATCCCTTGTATTTAATAAGTTCTTTCACACGATCTACTATATAGAAATAGCCTTGTTCATCGTAGTATCCTACATCTCCAGAATGCAACCAACCATCCTTATCGATTGTTGCCGCTGTAGCTTGTTTATTATCGCAATACCCTTTCATTATTATATCTCCTTTAAAACATAATTCTCCTACACTGTTTGGTCCTAGGGGTTTACTTGATTCATTTCCATCGATTGGCATTACTTTTGCTAAAACATCATACATGTATGTTTATATCATATATGTTTGTATATATTTATTTCAGCCTCTTTGGCCTTGAAATTGACTTTGGTTTTTACATTGCTTTCTCTTAACATTGCACATTTTACATTGTATTTATCCTAAATTTTACATGTAATATTTTTGTATCCTATTTTGTTTTATCCTATATTTCATCTTAACTATGCTATTCTTTTGTCTACTTAAGTATCTTAACTTAATTCCTTCATTTTATAAAATATCATATAAAAAATGGTATTAAAGACAAGTTTATAAAATATTACTCTCTAGTGTTTTACCTGATACTCCTGGAACTAACGTTCCTACGCTTTTATATTTTGTATTATCATCAGGCGACTCTACTACAGCCAACGTAGTTTCTGTTAATCCATATCCTTGCTTTATTATTGGCTTATTTAATCTTTTTACAACCATCCTTGCAATTTCTTCGGATAAAGGTGCAGCACCACACCTAATTAAACAGAGTAGAATGAATCCTTCATCTCTACTAAAATGAAACGCAATTTTTTAATGGAATATCCTAAATTATTCGACTTACCAAATCTCTTTAATACTAGATAAATTATATTTATTTACGATAGGATGTTTTGCTAGAAACACCATGAGTGGTGGCACGATAGTTATATGCTCAATTTTGTACTTTTCTATAGTACGTAAGAACATTTCCTCTTCAAAACGTGGAAGAATCACATTTTTATTTCCAAAAACGAGCGCTGCCAGCATTACAGAAAAGGAATATACATGGAAAAATGGCAATAAAGCTAAGCCTGTTATATTACTATTTGAAATACTAGGTGATGCAATTGTAAGGTTTTTTATCACAGACAAAAAATTTTTATCTGTCAACATTACACCTTTCGGCAGTCCTGTAGTGCCACTGGAGCATGGAATGACTGCCACATGGTCATTAATATCCACAGAACAGGCATGGAAATTATCATCAATGATTATGTCTGACGTTAAGCTATTAATACTTGGCAATTTATTATTCGTAGATTCTGTTAACATTACGAGCTTTGGTAACCAGAATAGTTCAGGAATAACTTTGTGTATATTCTTTGCTCCGAACTGTGACACAAAGATGTACTTTGGTTTTGATATATGCAATGCATGTTTTAATTCTCTTTCTGTATAAAGTGGGTTCAATGGGCAGACAGTGACACCCAAGTAAAATGCAGCACACACTACTGGACAATATTCTAGATTGTTTTCGCTGCATATAGCTATTCGATCATCTTTTTTTAATCCTTCCTTACTAAAGGCAATTGCCAATTGTCGACTAAAGTCTAGAATTTCTTTGAAAGTTTTCGACTTTCCTGTATAAGCGTCAATCTGAAAAAAATTTGTGTTATTGCTGATATGAAGCAGATATATCAAACAGATTTTTCTGTAAAATGAATGATTTATTTTATTTACCTGTGCCACCCAAGAACCACGAATACTTAATTGATTTAATAATAGCTGTGCTAATGTTACATTTTTGAATTCACAATTAGGTAATAATGGTCCATGTAAAATATTCTCGTCTTGCATATTGAAAAGTTTCTTGTACATTTTCGAATTTACTGGAAGAAGTAACTGCACTTTATATAAGGAAACTACTAAATCATGCAAGCGAAAGTCACATTACGGAATAATTTAAATTTATCTACCTAATAGGTAAAACAAATAAAGACGATATTTTCCAGCTAAATTTTAAATAAAATTTTTTCCTTTTTTTTCTGATAATGCAATTACATTTATTTAAATCGAATGTACCTCCAACAGGAAATATAAGAAATAGAAATATCCATTAACGCTTTATTAAATTCATATACTCAGGACTATACATGCCTTTTTTTTCACACTTGTTACCGGTACATAAGTGATCTTGAAAGATAGGGAGTGGTGAAGTGAAATAATCACTGAATTTTCGTACTAATGAAATAATAGCTTCCCTTCGAGCAATTCGTATCCGCAAATATGGTGTTAATACGTTTATTTGAAATGCTATACGAACCTAAATTTCTTTATTCCCGATGTTATTTCCTTACTATTATTTACAATTCAAAGTTGTCAATTTTATGACGTATATGTGCCAACATAGATGGCAGCATCGTACGTTGTGACTCTACATGCTGTTTGCTGATAGAATTTAGGCTGTCTATAAATCCATGTTATAGGTTAAATATGAGTGCACGGTGAAAACAATTGTTCTTGTTCGATTTATAAATAAATTTTTGAGAAAGGAAGATTTAGAGAGTACGTGAATCGATCGATCGACTGATTGATTGATCAAGATGGGAGTACCAGCGTTTTTTCGGTGGTTGAGTCGGAAGTATCCTTCCGTGATAGTGGAATGTATCGAGCAAAAGGTAGGTTAGGTTGTTTATTTGGATTTTATTTTACTTCCCTCTTAATAGGAAAATTGTATTTTCATTGCATCTTTGTAGCCGATAACTACGAATGGTGTACGAGTGCCAGTAAATTCTGCGGATCCCAATCCAAATGGAATAGAATTTGACAATTTGTACCTTGATATGAATGGCATCATACATCCCTGTACCCATCCGGAAGACAAGTAAATATCTCTGATACAGTAGTTACTAAGCTGCAAAGTGACTAAACAAACACTGTATAATAATTAATGACTTACATAGACCAGCACCAAAAAATGAGGAAGAAATGATGGAGGCCATTTTTGAGTGCATCGACCGTCTATTTCGCATTGTAAGACCAAGGAAATTACTTTATATGGCAATTGACGGAGTTGTAAGTATTCGCATGAAACTGCTGTAGAATTTGGGCTAGACCTTTACATGCATGTTAATATATCTGTAGGCACCCAGAGCAAAAATGAACCAGCAAAGATCAAGAAGGTTTAGAGCTTCGAAAGAAACGAACGAGAAGATTAATGAAATAAAGAGAATACGTTCTGAATTAATACTTAAAGGCGCCTCCTTGCCTCCAGAGAAACCGAAAGAAGACCATTTCGACAGCAACTGTATCACCCCTGTTCGTAACATTTCTTTGATATCAGATATATTAGATACATTAGATTGGAAATGATTTTTTGATGTAATTTGATTTGCAGGGCACGCCATTTATGGCACGATTATCAAAGTGTCTGCATTACTACATACATGACCGTTTAAACACTGATCCTGGTTGGAGAAATATAAAAGTAATTTTGAGTGACGCAAATGTACCAGGCGAAGGAGAACATAAAATAATGGATTTTATACGTAGACAGAGAGGTAAGTATCAATTTAACATCAGCTTGATGTTAATTTTTTTAACATTCTTAAACTTTTATGTGGAAAATTTAAATTAAATTTACAATATGTTTGTTGACATAACAGCACAACCGGATCATGATCCCAATACACAACACGTTTTATGTGGGGCAGACGCTGATTTAATTATGTTGGGTCTTGCGACGCACGAACCTAACTTCACAATTATTCGTGAAGAATTTAAACCGAATAAACCGAAACCGTGTGACATATGTGGTCAATTGGGGCATGAAATGCAGGAGTGTACGGGTGCAGAGCATATTCCAAGAGACGAAGCTAATGTCTTTGGATCCGAATGCCAGTACATATTTGTGCGGTTAAATGTTCTCAGAGAATATTTAGAAAGAGAGTTGCAAATGCCTAATCTACCATTTAAATACGATTTCGAACGAGTTATCGATGATTGGGTGTTCATGTGTTTCTTCGTAGGAAACGATTTTCTTCCTCATCTTCCGTCTTTGGAGATTAGAGAAGGAGCAATTGATAGACTCGTTAACTTGTACAAAAAAGCAGTATATAAAACAGGAGTACGTAGTATATATTAAAGAAAAAAATATCTGATCAGGTATATGTACATCAAAGAAAACACAAAGCATTCTGTGATAACACCTTTTTATTAATTATAGGGATTTCTCACAGACAGTGGAGATGTAAATTTGGACAGAGTTCAGCTTATAATGTCCGAACTAGGCAGTGTCGAAGATGAAATTTTTAAGAAAAGACAGCAGAATGAATTAGCCTTCAAGCAACGCGAAAAGGATAAAAAGAGGAGGTTACTGGGCGTCGGTAACAATAAGCCAAAGTGGATTCCTACAGGACAATTTGCACCAACAGTGTGTTTTAACTCAGTAAAATTAAACTTATGTTAATAGTATCGTTTAATACGTATATTTTTGTTACAGCGTATTGGTGACCGCGTTAATCCAGTAAAAAACGCACGTTATGAAGCTTATCAAATGCGCGTTCATGGCCAAAATTATCATACAAGTGCAACGGGAAATTCTAAAGAGATGCTGGAAAGTATGATGCGACCTGAGGTGTGTTTTATGTTTTTAATTTTCTAATGTACCTTATTTATACGTGTTATAAATATATAAATTTCTAATGTACCATATTTATACGTTTATAAATATATAAATTGTTTGCAGAATGAAACTAATCAGGACCGTAAACGAAAAAGTGAAACGTTTGAAGATGAGTCTGATGACGATCAAGCGCATGATGAAGTTCGATTGTGGGAGGACGGTTTTAAGGATCGTTATTACGAATCGAAATTCGATGTATCTCCTGATAATTTGGCGTTTAGGTAAGAGTGATTTTTACGATGTTACGTATGCTTCGAATTATAAATTTTGTTTATTTACAGAAATAACGTAGCGTTACAGTATGTACGCGGTTTATGTTGGGTTTTACGATATTACTACCAAGGTTGTGCGTCATGGAAATGGTATTTTCCATATCATTATGCACCATTTGCTAGTGATTTCATCAACATCGGTGGTCTTTCCACTGAATTTGAGAAAGGAACTATACCAGTAAGTACACTTTGAGATACAGATTGAACAATCAACAAGAGAAATTTATTCCTTTTCATTTTGATTGTTTTAGTTTCGTCCGTTAGAACAATTGATGGGTGTATTTCCAGCAGCTAGCAGTAAACATGTTCCTGAACCTTGGGCAAAATTAATGAGCGATCCAGTAGGTTGAAATTTACCAATTAAATGAAAAATAATTTACGATATTTATCAAAATTTTTCCTTTCTTCCAGAGATCACCAATTATCGATTTTTATCCGGAAGATTTTAAGATTGATTTAAACGGCAAAAAGTTTGCTTGGCAAGGAGTAGCTCTACTTCCTTTCGTGGACGAGAAACGGCTGTTCAAAGCATTGGAGCCATATTACGATTGCTTAACAGACGCAGAAAGTATGTTGGTTTCATTAAATGTTTCAAAGTTCATGATTTATTTATTTGATATTCATTTTTTTTCTTTTTTTTTTTTTAGAAAAACGAAATGTTCGAGGAGACGATCGACTATATGTTGGACTCGGCAACAGTAACTACAATTTTATAAAGGAACTTTATATAAGCCACGTGCGATTCGACATAGAAACTTCGATATCCATAGACGGCATGCGAGGTACAGTATTATTGGCAGAAGATTGTGTCGGAGATGGGGCTACTTTACCCTCACCTATAAACAGTCTACCAGTCAGGAATAATAAAGTATATTGGTATGTATAAAATACACGAATAACTCTAAAACAAGAATACTTGTTTAATCGAAAATTATCTCCTTTTTTCCTGTTGTAGCGTCAGATTCAGAGATCCAAAATATAACAGTAATTTCATTTTCCCCGCGAGGAAGTTGAAGGGCGCCAGAGAACCACCAAGAGTTTTGAAACCTCAAGACTTCGACCAAATGAATCGTAATACTGGAAATACTTGGAAACCGCAGATTGGTTTTACTCCGTCTACGCAAGTAGCTTCGTTGAGTGAGGCAGGTCGAAGAATACTTGGGTGGGTTACAACACGATCTTCGTATACATTTTTTTATTTATTTATATTCATAAACTTTTATTTTATTTAATTCGTACTTGAATGTCACATATTTTATATGTAATCAGTTATACTTGACCTTGACCTGAACCTCTTTTTTTTGTTTGCAGACATTACACGAACCATAACAGAGTACCGCCGTTGTACAATCCCGTATCGATACCGCAGTCGCCTTATCCAGCGTATCACGGTGAGTGTTTAAATATTTTTAAACTATCTTACATTGAAATATCCGTTGATATTTAAAGAAGAGTTAAAAAAAAAAGGAAGGGACGCCAGTCTGAGATTTGTATTCGGCAATAAGGTGGTTATCGTGCGTTATGTTCTATCCTCGTGAGTCAGAACCCTCGATCTTTTCAAACAATACAACGTGCTTACTAGAACCAAATTAAAGCGCACGCGACCTGTTCAGATAACCGACAACATGATTCCTCGTCGAATAAAAAACGCGTACGGGTATTCATTGTTTTCTGCACCCTATCAAAAGTCGGAGCGGCTCCCCCATCTCATCGTTTACGTACTTGCTTCGCGTTTTATGCGTCAATCAGCTAAAATCGCCTTTTGTTCGTTGATCTGATTCATTTGTTTTCAATTCATTTATCTTTCGCGATGCTATCTTAATTACGATCAAACAAAGTTACACATTAGCTGTTAGTTACTTAATTACTCCATGTGAATTATAGAAACTTAGTTTTCATTTTTACTTTGCAATTTGTATTATAATTGACATTAGAATTCTACATATTTTCTACGAGTATCGGTGTTTGCAATTAACACTAGAACTACCGGCGATTAAAATTTCCATCAGAGATGTTAAAGTAGAAAAATAGAAAACACTTTTAAATTTCTAAAAATACACACTGTTTAAAAATACATCTATATATTCAAAATATTCGACAAAAATTAAAAATTGGTCATTTTTGACCATTTTGGTAGCGTTAAATATGTAATTCACGTTACCATTTCAACGAAATCGACATTGATATCTATCGATCGCAATAGCAACAACTCTTTTACTTCGTCGATATTTGTCATCAAATAAATCAAAAGGTAAATCCCTTTGTTTCTACCTTTCTTCTTTCTACACGCGAGGAAAATCGTGCTCACCCGTCCCCGATTCGTCGTTAGCTCCGTTGTCTACATCAAACTCGTTAAAGTCACGGCGAACTGTCCCCGAAAATTGCGAACCGATTAGGGCCGTCCCAATTAAGAGTCGACCAGCGGCGGTTGTTAACGAGCCGTGACTTCGTAGCCACGCAAGATTTTTCCATCTGAAAGCCGCGTGACAGAGCCAGCGAAGAGACGTGGAAAGGGAGTTGATTCTCTCCGTTTGTTCCAAGTTGGTTGCTCCTTGGTTGCGTGCACGATAGAAAGGGAGAGAATGGTGGACGAAGGAAGGGGCGAGGATGGTAAATCAGGGGTCAGAGGCGGGAGAGAGCGCGAGCCGTGCAGAGGGGGGTTCGCCGAGCCGTGGGGTTCCGGTCGTGGGATTAGCTTCGAGGGTAGTTCGTCACGTAGAGCGTGACTCTGGTCGTTTCGTTGTTTGGCACGTCGAGGTGGAACCAACGGTTCCACGGCTTTCGCCCAATTATAAAACAAACGCGGTGTACTCCGTAATTATCCAATTAGCGGATGTTCCACCACCACTACCACCACCACCATCGACTGCTATATCACCGTCGTCAGAAGCAAGCCCTGCCCCGGGCCCTTTCACTTGGCCGTCCGTTCTCTCCCCGTCAGCGCAGTCGATCTGTCTGGCTGAGATTACAAAGGCGAGCAAGCAACTATCGCTTTGTATCAGCGATTCGTTATCGTCGAAGTTCTTCCTGTAGCTTATGGCGGTACGACTCTCGTCAACTGTGGTCTGACGAATGTGTTTCAATATATCATATTTCCTTCGACAGATGGACGATGATTTTTTAGGGATTTTTCTAGGGATTTTTTTGGTCACCTTTGGTTTTTGAAACGTGTACATTTGCGCGTGCTTTGCACTGAAAGTTCAAGATACTGTTAGAAATTCAAAAATTCTTTATATAGGGTGGGCCAAAAGTTTCTTCCCACCTATTCTTTTTAATAAAGCATCAAAAACTAATTTTATTAATTTTAAATTAAATTTAAGTTATTTAATATATAATGAAAGAATTACGGATTTATTTTAGTGGAAATTTAGTGATTCTTGGCCCATCCTATATACTTGATCTATGATATCTTGAATTCATTTTTCTTTCTCATCTCGAATTACTCACATCTGCGCCAGATATCGTTCTCTCTTCGAAAGTCTATTAATTCCTGTGAAATAAAGGGAGATCAGTCTGAAGTTAAAAACGAGATTGATAATTATTGATTATACGGAGATTGGTAATTAAGATAGGAAACTGATTACATTCAGTGATTTACGAGAGGCACCGATTCCGTGAAGATGAATTACGATCATTGGAGGTTGACAGGGGCCAGGAGGCGTGATCGGATGGGTGCACGCGCGTGGCAAGAAGTTCTCCACGCGTGACCGTAAAAACAAAACGTTGTTACACGGTGTGTGATTGATTTACCGAGGGGCGTAAACGCCAGGCACACGCGTTTGACCGGGTCGAACGGGGACCCTCAGGAAACCGCGTTCCCTATCCACGTACGAAGTCCAACAGTCTCGTTGGGTGTGTTTTCACTTTTACAACGAATATGTCTTCACATCGTCCATCTGAAATTGGATACAAATTTTATTGAAGATACAGAAAGCAAGATACTTTCATATAAATGCAAGCAAATGCAGGCACTTACAGTACAATTGATTTTAAAGTAGATATGGAGAGTAGAGAGGCGAGGCCTTTATTTGGATAAAGTCTGAAACGAAATTCCATAACTAACATTCTCAAAAAAAAAAAAAAAAAAAAAAAAAAATTTTCAAGAAGTACAGAAAGTACGGAAGAGGAACTGCCTAGGAAGACTTTATCAATTTTGCAAACTTTATCTCCACCAAGTAACAATTTATCATGTCACGAAGATCTGGAAAAAGCCACAGCTCGTTTTCAACTGTATCCCATGAATCTTCCTGTTACCATGGGTCGAGCAAGCACCACGTTATGGAGCAAGCAGGTCGAGTGAGGACGAAAGCAAAGCGAGCCAGGAAGCAGAAAGCAAGCAAGAAGCAAGCAAGCAAATGCTTCCTAGGGGTTGAAGCTGGGAGGAGGAGGAGGAGTAGGAGGACAGGGGTTGGTCTACGGTCCGTTCGTCCATATCTTGGACCAGATGACAGGTGCAGAGAGGCCCCTCGTTAGACAAATTAAGCTTCGTTCCTGGCCTCCCTGGTCTCGATGCCGGAGCGTCTCTCTACTACTCTTCTTTCCATGGCTTTGTCCGTCTGTCTCTATTCCGTCCTCGTCGCTCCGCGTCTCTGTGTCTCCGTTGCGCGCGCGCCAGCTCGTTCGGGACTCGTTTCGAGTGGACTGCAAACACTCGTGCAGTCAGCGGCGGCGGAACCTCGAATCGCGTAGAAACCGGGCACAAGACCAAGAAGAACCGTTCGGATCTGTGATGTTCGCTACCAGCTATCCTAACGGGCAGCACAGAGGACCCCTTTTCTCCTACCTTTCTCGCGAATTAACGGAAGCAGAATTGTAGCAGAACGTCTGGAAGAAATAGAAACGCTAGAGAAGGGAGAAAAGTCGAGAATGGAAGAGTAGGAGAAAAGAGACGTTCTCGTTTTTTTTTTTTTTTTTTTTTTGCTTTTTGTGGCTGCGACAGAGAACAAATAGGGTAGTTTCCAGTCGCTGGTTTCACGTTTCTTAACACTTTCCCAGCGGGACGTTTCAAGTGACAGTCCCCTGTAAGAAATGTGTATTACTTATTACTATTGGAACTATTGTATATCGTTGTGGAAATTTTTATGAATTATTATTTTAACACTTCAGACCTTGATTTTTTGCAAGTGCTTGAAAGATACTCTTGCCAAAATTAATATTAATTTCTTTTGGACAGAAACGTAATCTATTCATTTTGATTATTATTTAAATTATCTAAGTCTAACCTTGAGTTTTTGCAAGTGCTTGAAAGATACTCTTGCCTTATTATCTAAGTCAGACCTTGATTTTTTGCAAGTGCTTGAAAGATACTCTTGCGAAAATTAATATTAATTTCTGTTTGGACAGAAACGTAATCTATTTATTTTGATTATTATCTAAATTATCCAAGTCCAACGAGTTGCATGTGGAATATAATTGACACAGTTGTTCTAGCGTTAATACATATTTCCATTTGTTTCATTTATATTAATATTTTGGTGGCCAACCAAAAGTCAAATATATACCTGTTGTAAAACTGTTAAAATATAAGCTGAAATCTTTCCTTTGAGAACATCAGGACAGAGAGCAGACAAATCTTTTATGTTTAATCCACTCTGTCGCGTTAATTATTCAACTTGGATGTTTGATGACTTTCCATCATCAACGTCTACAGAATGTTTTTAACTATTCTGGAATAATCAATTTCTTCCTTTTTTTCCCCTTTTACGGGAAAGACAAGCTTCAACCGTGAGATGATTGAAATCCATTGAAAGTAACGATAGTCTCCCTCTCCCTGTCGAGGAGACGACACGAAACCATCAGAGTCCTTTCCTGAAAACGTCCACGGCATCTTCAGCCTTGATTCGCCGGTGGAAATTACCTCTCTGAACGACGTTCCATCCATTGGCAGCGAGGTGTGCTGCCTCTATTTACCAGCGTCCCTCTTCCCCTCTGCCTTCCCCTCTCCCGCGGAAACTGGCTGCCGCTTTCACGAGATATTACCTGTAATGTCCGCTGCATCCATTACGCGTCATTATCCATCCATTAGTCGTTTTCCACGGATCCGTTGGACGCTTCGAAAAAGGACGTTTAGACGCTCCAGAGCACGCGGAACGGAACCAACCTTCTTCTTTCACTCGCCTCTCTTCTTTATCTTGTTCCATGGGAAAGAATTCTCTCCACGTGTACTGGGAGCATCCTCCGTGAACAATCTTCTCGCTTCTCCCTCAATTGTTGTTGCTAGTACCGTCCTTGGGAAACTAAAACCGTGTTAACTAATGAAATTGGAACAAAGCTTCTAGTACACCTGTGTTTTATGTAATAATCAATTTTCAGTGATCCAGCGAAAGCGTTGGAAAGACATTTAGTAACAGTGGGAATTAAATTTTCATGAATTTCTGTATCCTAAGTAACGAGCAACTGGAAATTCTGACAGTTAATTTGAAAAAAAAGATTAGAAACGATTGGCAGAAGAAGTGTAGTGACTAGAGAGTTAATACGTCGCGGTGACTGGAAGCGTCGGTATTACTCGACATCGGTAATTACGGCGAGGACGGTAACGAGGACACGTGTTTTCCATGGAAAAACTTGGTTCTCGAAGACGAGTTGAACAAAGCGATCCAGGAGGAGGATGAAGTAGCAAGGGGAGAGCAGGAGGAGAGGGGACAGAGGCTTCTTCTCTAAATGCTCGTTCACCCTCGCCTATTCATTCTTTCGCGTATGTCTACTACCTGCGATACAGCCTCCCCCCCCCCCCCCCCCCCTTCGCCATTAACTATAGGATCCATTCATCTTCGAGAGCATAGGTGAACTTGTCCTCGCGATCTCTTCAGACACTCGATGATCTGCCCCGCGCTCTCTGTGGCTTGAAACTTCAAAGCCTGCTCCTTTCTCTGAACGGAGACGGAAAAGACAGAAAGAGGAAGAGAGGCGGAACAGGCAAGAAGAGAAGAAAATAAAAATATGCTCTCTTGTTGTCAGAACCTTTTCGTTTTCTTTTCCTCCCTCTTTCTCTTCGAGACGAAAACTGAAATTGGATTTTAAAATTAGTAAAAAAAAAAAAAAAAAAGAATTGTACACACAATATTTAGGCCAACAACTATTGTATTGTACCTGCATTCAACTGTGAACTGTCGAAGACTTTCAAAAATTTCAAACGTCATTTTCTCACGTACGGAGTCTCTTTGACTCTCCTCTTCTTTGAGAGTTTCCATGAGACACGAATTTGGTTGATTAAAATTTCGGACGGACAAGAGAGGGGCAATGGGGACAGGGATACGGCCTGTGTTTTCTATGGTGTGGGGTTGACGGGCGTCAGTGGCAGTGCCGTGGCTAATTTCCTCGGCATTGAGCCGCATTGTGCTCTAAATCGGTCTTCCCGCCTTCAAAAAAACCTGTCCCCCTCTGCAACTGCATCGGCGATCTACGCGTCGCATGTATCTCTCTCTCTGCACCTCTGTCCGAGTCCATGGAGATTGTCCCCTTTCCTCACTTCATTTCACCGTTTCGTTCCTCCTCCTGGAGAATGTTTTTACCATCGAACATCATCTCAAGCACAATTGAAGATTATCTGGCTTAGAGTCTAGTAAGATTTCTTACCAATTTAGCTCTTTCCTTTATCAGCTTTAAGATCCTAGAAATAGAAAAAACGATAACGTTGAATTTTATACAATAACTTATATATACTTTTATATACTAATATATACTAATATACTAATATTTTATATACTAATATATACTAATATTTTATATACTAATATATACTAATATACTATATTTTATATACTAATATATACTAATATATACTAATATACTAATATTTTATATACTAATATATACTAATATACTAATATTTTATATACTAATATATACTAATATATACTTTTATACTTTTATACTAACTTTAGAAAAGAGTTAGGTATTTCTCTTTTTTAGCCTCTCAAACAAACCCATAATATAAAACCAATAAAATAAATTGCTGCTGAATTTGAATTTTCTCGCGTGCCCCCTCAGCTTCTTAAGTAAACTTCCGAAAAATTACGTGAGAATAAGAAGAGGAGACGTCCGACCAGGGCCAGCTGGGGGGAGGTTGGTAGATGTAATCGCGCTATTTTTTTCATTCTTTCCTTTTGCAACCCCCCCCCCCCCGCGGGAGAAGCACGGGTGAAAAGTCGTGAATATCCGCGAGGTGTCAGCGAGCCATGGCTCCTTCTTCACCGCCGGTAAGAAATCGTGAAACGGGTTGAGGATGCGTGGAGTGGCAAACCGGGAGGGGGTGGGATGAGAGAGCGACTCGACGTCGAGAGGGATCCGCCCTCTGGTGAAGGGTCCAGCCAGTAGACAGTCTCACTAATTACGCCGCGCCTCATTAGCGTGGAAGCCTGGCAGTCGCTTAAGGACACGTACGACGACTCTTCTTCGGTTTCGTCAAAGATACAAATCTCTTTTTTCCTCTTTTTTTTTTCTTTTCCCTCCTCTCTTTCTTTCTCTCCCTCTCTTCCTTCCTTGCTCTTCTCTCTTTCCATCCATCCAACGGACAGGGGTAAGTCCTTTGCTACGACTCTTCTTCGCTCGCCGACACTGAAATAGGAGGGGGAAAAAAAAAAAAAAAAGAAATATTAGCAATGAGAGAAATCCTCTCTTCTTACCGCGAGGCAAGAGTTCGAAGAGCCTTCCTCTCCCGGCGATCCGTGGATGGTCGGCAGCCACCGTTACGTGGAGA